CATAGTTCAACCCTGAGCTACAAATATTATCTTCTATTGATAAACACTTTTTGATTAGAGAGACACAGAGCTTGCCTTATATGAGATGGCTCCCAGTGATTTCATTCTAAATCTTGCTATGATTTCTATAAATAAGGCATATAGAATTATAATGGCTGAGTATTTGATCCTTCATACATCAAAAAAATTACAAAGCTAAGGGATAAATGAATAAAAAACAGATTTGAAAAAAGAAAAAGCTCAGGAAAGAAAGAGTAAAAATGTAAGAAAAAGGAAAAGAAAGAAAACCAAAAAAGAATGACTTCCAACTTTCTTTGATAAAAATATAAGTAAAAATATATCAAACTCTTACTCTAAGATTAACATTTGTCTGCATTATTTCCATAATCCCATATCTAATCATCAAAGTCCAGTTCAACTTTTAATTTCAGTTTCTTACAAAAAAATCCAGTAATGGTTCGCTTTAAACACTATTTGTTAAGGACACCACAACTGTTTTAATTGCACCAAATTCTAAGACTGAGAAACGCTGATCCACAGATAGGGATTTTTCCATTCCTCTTTTACTGGTTCTTACTTACTTATGAGCAATCATAATGTAAAATCCTCTCTTTCACCCCATTCCAGACCAATGATAATGCAAAATCCTCACTTCCACCCCATTCCAGACCAGCCAGTGGTGGGATTTGCTGTTTCGCTGAACTGCACAGAATCTTAACAACCGGTTCGCTGGAACTAGTGAGAACCAGCTGCAGCTCACCTCTGAATATATTGTATATGGGATGTAGTTCCATAAATAAGACACTGGCTGTTCTTTATTTTTTGTCTTGATCTATAGCAGGGGTGTCAAACTCATGTCATCACAGCAGCATCACATGACATATCAGGACTTTCTTCCCATTCGCTAAACCGAGCAATGAGCGTGGCCAGTGCATGATGCATCCAGCTTGCGGGCTAGCAGTTTGAGAGCCCTGATCTATAGGAAAGAAAATGAATAGGAAAAAGAATTCAAAGTGGTTCATTTTCTAACACCACCAGTTTAAAAAGAAAACAATAGTTGTATTCAGCATCTAGCCCAGTTGTAACAATTATTATCTGTGGTTTTAATTATAGTTCAGTGGGATTTTTGGAGGAAGAGCTACATGTAAGATTTTGATGTATACCAGATTTTCTGCCTTTACACTACAGCTTCTCTCTATAATCAACCAATTAAAGCATTCTGTGGAGCAGTTTAAATAAAAGGAAAAGCCTACTGCCACTTTTTGAACTATTTAAGTAGTTGAACTTGTTCCCTAGTTATTTGGGAATGTGAACCACTTTTTCGCTTCAAATGGAAAATGGAGAATTCTGACCTGGGAGTTGTACTCTTGATATATCTCAAAGGGCCAGGATGAGTCTGGACTAAACACTTGGAACTCTGTGCTTAATTTCTTGTGGTTTTGAGGGTCTGTCTCCTGCAAAATTAATTCAAGATGATAGGAATGAGATTCACATGTCTTCTGCTTTTCAATTGCTGCAAAAGAGAGCCATATTTCATGAAACAAGGTATCTGAATTTGAGTCAAATCTTAAATGTAAAATACATAAAACATTCACTTGTCTTGAGAAGAAACCATATTTCTTTTTTTAAAGGAAATATAAGACTTAACTGCTTAAAAGCAGTTTAGAAAATTAAGGTTGAAATGAAGTCAGAAATCAAATTAATTTTGTCCTCCAATTTTTGCAGCTGCATTCTTAATGCCATGTATCTGAAATTTAAAATATTTTGCAGATGGATGGCTCTTAGAAGTCCTTCATTTTGCTTAGCTCTTATCCTATACTTTCAATCATGGGTTGCTTTATTAGGAGGCCCATAAAATTAAACTTTTTAAAAAAACTGCCAGGATTAGTCTTTGCAGTTGCCAGCAGTCAACATTGACCTGAAGACAGACAGACAGACAGACAGACAGACAGACAGACACACACACACACACACACACACACACACACGTGAGTGCTTGTGTGCATGTGTTTGTACATTCATTTTGACAGTTCAGTTGCATACAAATTCATAGAAAAGATTTTCCATTTTCCTTAGGAAAAGAATTATATCCATTTAAAAAATTCTGGAATATAAACAACTACTTAACTAAGACTTTGGAAAATCTGTGATATTACCATTCCAATCACGATTATCCAATTTGTTTTACCCTTCAGGTGCTTAATTTTTTTGCTTGAAATATGATTACTGTTTTGAGCTGTTCCAGTTTTCCAGCCTATTACTATGCATTTACTTTACTCCCAAGGACGTAATAGCCTCGCAGCTCCAGTCCTGGGCTATGGACAATCTCTACACAACATTACTAAGATAGACCTGCTTGGGGCCAGGGTTATCTAAGAATTAGCTGTTTTCGTGGTTTCCTCCTTTGCTTGAGTGTCTTTGCATTCTGCATCCATGTTCCGAAATCCTTGGATATCCAGCTGTTTGCAGAATGTCAGATATTTGGAACAGCAAGGTAAGAATTATATCCACATCAAAAATAATGCAACTCATTGTCATTTATATGCTTTCTAAATGTAAACAAATTGCAGAATCAAGATATCTCTTCTCCTTCCCCGCCCTAATAGCAGCAGAACACATTAGCTTCAGTTATCTGCATTCATTTTAGCACTTTGTCTTACTGCTCCTTCAAAGAATTGTCTTTTTTTTTAAAAAAATATCGGATTGTATTAATCATGTCATTAGCTTAGCTAGCAGTAAAATTAATGCTGATGCCAGAGTACCTTTAAAGCTTTTTTTTTTTTTTTTTACAATTCTGTTCATGTCTTCATGACAAGCTTACAATAAGGGGAGGATTGGTTGCTGACTTAAAAATATGTGTTTTTTTTAAAAGCACTGTAAGATTCAAGAGCTCAAACCATATAAAAAACCTTTAATAAACTTTTCAAATATGTGAAAGCTGCTTTCCAGTGAGTTTTATTAATAGAGTTTTAATTCTGAGTCTTCTGAGTAATAAATTATATTTCTGAAATGGAAAAAATACTAGACATGCTTTCTGGATTAGCAGTTATACCTGTTGAGAGAAGAACATTAAACTTCATTCACCACATTTAAGTAAAAGGGATTGGGGAGGGTGAGATTTTTTTAAAGATATACTATCAAAAGTGCTACACTGATATATTAACACTAAAAACTTCACTTATGGAACATTTTGAGATTATAGTAAATTAAAACATTGTGGATTTTGGTGTAGAAAGTGTGCTCCAAATTTTAGGTTCAAGTATTCTGGTGTGGCTTGGTATTTCATGGCTAATAGTGTGCCAGAATAATTGTCTAGACCTTTTCTTTTTCATAACTGTTCTTCACCCTTCTCTGTGTTGTCCTTCAGGAATACAAAAGAACCTACTGTGTGTTCTGAGTTGAGACTTTCATGGTGGAGAGAGTTACATTCCAGAACTTTTATTGAGTTATATACCATTTAAAATTTTATGAGTGCCTGGTTCTAATTTAACCAGACACAAAACAGCTGCCTTTTTTAGTAGTACCAAGTAGATATTTTAACATGATTTTTGAGGGGATCCTGAGACCTTTCCTTTCTGCCAAGATGGATCGTTAGTTGCCATCCTCTAGCTGGTACCTAACTCTAATTGTTGCCTGTTATATGACTTCCCTCTAAGGTAAGAGATGACAGCTAAACACATATTGTGCACCTTCTGGCTACCATTAGAAAGTATCCAAATAGGAAGGAAAATTCTGTTTTAATACCAATGTAGTTAAAAACAACTTAAGATTGTCTCATGCATGCAATATTATGGAACTTTGGTAGAAAAAAACATGTTTGGTAGATAAGGTGTATGATTGTGCCACTGTTAGTGCAAATTCAAAAGGACTGATTTTCAAATTAAAAGCATAACAGTATATAATTTGTAATCTTTAATTTAAGTAATGCATGTTTTCTTTGTTATGGGGTGATGGGGAAAAACCCTAAAACCTCATACAGTACACCAGAAATAAAATGAAGATCTCAGAAGATGGTTTCTTGTTTTCCAAATGATTAATTTCTCTTCTGGTATACAAATAACATTTTATTGATTATTGATTATTTATCTCTCTTTTAGTTGAGAATCATGGAAATTGATAAGAGAAAGATAGAAAATGAGGAGTGATTTAGGGCTGGTTTGTAAAAACCATTCAGCAATGCCATCACATAGATGGCATCATGCCAAATATGGATGCAAAATGGCAGCCACATGTCACCAGTTTGGGGGATTCATTCATGTCATAGGTTATTGTTGTTAAAGGCTATGCAATTTTTCTTCCATACTTTTTCATATAATCTTTTCTTACGGTTTTATTTACATCTTGTCTTAAAAATATCTCTTCATAAGAGACTTTATCAGGGCTTAGGAAAATTTATGCATTTATTGTTGTCCTAGACACTCTGCAAGACAGTCTGGGATCATTTTCAAGTTAGTATAGACACTGAAGTCTACAGAAAGGGTTTTTATCAGATGTGCAGTCTGGTAACTTCTCTTTGTAGTTATTTTTGCTTCTTAAAGCTATCCCTACCAAATTGTTTGTATTAAGAAATACCAGAAAATTGCTAGTTATTAGTATCTGTTTATTTATCAAATAGATGATTATTGATGATTATGAATGATTATGATTATTTTCATGGAAGTACAACACAGAAGATGTTCTTTCTAGAAAGAAGTATGATTTAATACACACACACACACACACACACACACACACACATATTCTACAAATAACTAATACTATATGATAGGTTTGTACAGACCAAACATTGTTGAAATAAGATTTAGAAGCATTTTTACAGTTCTAGGTCATACTTCATAAGTTTCTACTTTCTTTTAAACTGACACTCTGCCCAATCTTGTCTGCTTTGAAATATGAACACTTAAATCATTACAGGTTAATTGCTATTTAAGGTTTGAAGATTTATTCCTTACTGTCAGACTGTGTATTGGTGGATAACTTTTTCCACCACTCTGTTTCAGATTTTGACAAAGAGAATTTGTTTGCGTATAAAACTCCAAGATTACTCCAGAGCAGGAGGAGGACTTTAAGGTAAATCATTCTTTGCACTTCTTGTGTATAATTAGTTAGTTTGCAGTGAGAACAGGTTAATTTCTTCATGACAGTGATTTGGGAAGAAATTCATCTATAGTGATTGTGTATAGGATCACTGTCACTCCTTAAGATATGTGTGTAATTGATACACAAACACTAAATCTTTGAAGGAAGAATACCATACATTCCAAAATGAGCATTTGATTTTGTGATATTTTTATGCAATTCTCAAATAGAAGTATGCAAGTCTTTTGTACTGATTTAATGTCATGATGTTGGGGTCCTTTGCTGTTTATGCTTTTGTCACTGTATTGTACAAACATTAGCATGTACCTCTTTCAGGTAAATACCACATTTTAAGTTCTCAAGAAAGCAGTTTTTAACTCCAAAATCTTATACCACAATAAATACATAGTTTTGTGCAGATCCATATATGCACATGTGTCAAGTCTCCTGTGGGAGCAGCATTGGCTTTTGATTTCCTCCAGGTCCAATTTAAGGTGCTGGTTATCAGCTTCAAAGCCCTACATGGCTTGGGATCAGCTTATTTGAAAGACCATCTTCTACCTGACCTACTAGAGCAAGGAGGTAGGGAATCTATGGGTCCTTTCTCCTAAGGAGGTACAGCTAGCAGGACCAAGAAGAAGGGCCTTCTTCGGGGCAGCTCCCTCCCTGTACAACATCATCTCTGTAGAGATAAGATTGGACTCCACTCTTTCAAAAGGCCCCAAAGACTTGATTTTGGTATTTGGCCAAGGAGTCACAGAATGGGATGGAGCCTGGAACAATCATTTGATTAGTATCACTAGGGAGTTGGGAGTTATTGCTTTTTTTTGTTTTTTTTTTCATATGAGGTTTGTATTTTTGTATGCTACCCGGAGTCACAGAGAATGAATTGGGTAGCCATATAAATGTTCATAAATAAATAAATGGTAGAAGAGATCCATATCTAGTATTTTTATATATCACTCTTAAATGGTTAGGCCTTGAAAAATGCAGTATAATACGTTTGTCTTCATTTTGAGATGGAATTTGTTAAATTTCCCCATAGGAGTTCAAGGTAATAGCTGTCTTTTGAAGAGAGATAAAATGAGCCATAATGACACAATATAATTCTCCCCAGGGTTTATGTTAATCACAATTAGGTTAATAGAATGGATGAAAGGCTGCATGTTACAACATAGTGAGCTCTTTGTCACAATTAATATTTGCAATAGCACGAGAGTTTGGCAGGATAACTAAGAAGTTTGCTTAAAACTACCTAGGTTTAAAATGGTAAAGAAAAAAAATAAAAAGATATAATTATGTGAGCCATGTTTTATGGTCACTAGCAAATAGCATAAGTTGCATTTGGGCGGGGGAGGAGAAATACTTTTTTCATAATCTTTTTGTAAATTGTGAAAATATTGAGTCTGTTTCTTGCACTGGATGCTGTAACAGAAACAATATATATATATATATATATATATATATATAATGACTTCTGTTTATAGAATAGAATAGAATAGAATAGAATAGAATAGAATAGAATTCTTTGTTGGCCAAGTGTGATTGTACACACAAGGAATTTGTCTTAGTGCAAATGCTCTCAGTATACATAAAAGAAAAAGTACATTTGTCAAGAGTCAAGAATCATCAACACTTAATAATAGTTATAAGGTACAATAAGCAATAAGCATTTATTCATTTATTAGATATTTTTAAATCCCTCTTTTATTATTTTTTATAAATAACTCAAGGTGGGAAACATGCCTCATACTCCTTTCTCCTCCTATTTTCTCTACAATAACAATCCTGTGAGGTGGGTTGGGCTGAGAAAGAATGACTGGTCCCATCACCTAGGCTTTCATGCCTAAGGCAGGACTAGAATTCTCATTCTCCTAGTTTCTAGGCCAGCACTTTAACCACAACAAAAACTGGCTCTAGAATTTGTATTCCCCACCCCTTCTGTACTCAAAGGCTGCTTGGACAAGTCCCTACAGTTTTCTTGACAAGGTTTTTCAGAATGGTTTGCTCATTCATTGGGCTAAGAAAAGTGACTGACCCAGTTACCCAGCTGGCATTGTGTCCAAGATGAGGTTAGAAGTCACTCCCAATTTCTAGCATGATAGCTTAAGACTACACCAAACTGGGTCTTACAATTTGTAAACAATTACTTCTAATTAACTATAATTTGTACTTTCAAAAATGGAATTAAAGTAAGTCTATAAGTAAATTGTCTATAAGTTATTAAGTTACAAGACTGAATTCTGCTTGAAATATGACCTGTATTATAACAAAATATTAATTTTCCAAGTGATTAATACCCATTTTCTTTTCTTTTTTTTTAAATAAAGTTTATTTGGGTTTTCACACATACAAAATACAAGTAAAATATCTTTTTTGAAAATAGCATGGTCCCGGGTTGAACTTCTTTATACAGACACAAAACTCAATTTCATGCTCCTTTTTGTATTCTATTCCATATGTTATACTATTTTACATTTTCTATATAGTTTTTCCCCTCTTTTAATTTTCTCAATTTTATTTTGATTATCTCATCTCAATTCAAATCATTATATTTATACTTTTGTCTGTTCTGTTTCAATTTCATATTATCTTTTCTCATTAAACAAATTTTCTCCTGTAGTTACTAATTGGAGTATGACACCTTTATATCTTTTAATTAAATCCATTCAACTCTTATTTAAACTTCAATACCCATTTTCATAACATTAAGATTCTGAGTTGAATTCATTAAGAATGAAGTAAATTCTGTTGTAAGAGACGTCATGCATGATCTAAAGATTTTAACATATATACATTTAATAAATATAGAGGAAATATCTCAAACTATATGGGAATAATATAATGAGAACAATAAGCTTAAGAGGTTGTCTTCCAGGTGAAATTCAAGACACCGGTTGTTACCTGATGTACGGTATACTTGAAGGACCAGGTCTCTCTATTTCCTCTACTATCCTAAGCCATTCAATCTGTCAGGAGAGGCATCCTCCAGCTCCTAATGATTAAAGAATGACATCTGGTGTCACCAGGAAGTGTGCCTTTTCTCTCATAGCATCTGCCCTTCGGAACACCTCGTTACCCATAATTAGCTTAACTCAACTTCGCTAGCATTAAGGAAAGTGCTCAAACCAAGCTGTTCTTCCAGGCATAGGAATGAGCAGATTAGTGAGGTTTTGTGAGGTTTTGTTGACGGCCATTGAGAAGTTATCCTCAGTTGCCATTTTTTGCCTTCCTATTACATGGACTTTTTTTTTTTTTTTTACTATATCTATTATTTTTTATTTATTCTGTTATTTTCAAATTATTTTTGCCACCTAAACATGGATGCATTAATGAAGGATATATTAACTGTTTAGACTTTATCACTGTTCATATGATATGTCTTCATATGTATCTTCAATGAAAATATGTCATGGAAGTATAATCAAGTTTGATCTCCAAGTCTCCAGAACAGGAATAGTTGTTGGGGTTCTTGGTGTCATCTTATCTCGGTTATTTTCTTGCAAACATTTAGTTATCCAACTAGTGTTAGAAAACAGTTGTGTTTTCTCTCTGTTTATATACCAGTGGTTTGCCTTGTCAGTGTTGGTGCAAGTGTTGTTTTCTTTTTGGTAGTTTCTTGATGATACCTAGTTGGGTGATGAAATATCTGCCAGAAAACACCAAGTTCAAAAGGCACCTGGATCCTAGTCCATCCTTGGGCTACAAATATTCTGTTGTATTGATAGAAATAACTTTTAGAAAGGCAAACTTTCTAAAAATATATGGACATTTCAAAATTTAATTTGCATTCATTTTTCATGCAATCAGCATAAATCTGGTTGCAATCAGAATTTGCTCCCAACTAATTACATTAATATATCAAATTACAAAATGGTGTACTGCATTGCAGACACTTTCTGTACTAAAAAGTATTCTAACTTGGTTTCTTTTTTTTTTTTCAGTGTATGTGTATAGGCTAAATGAGACTTCAAAATTCATCAATTAGGAATAAATAATCCAAGAACAACACTTAAGATAGAGAATGAGACTTGAACAATAATGCATTTAACCTGATAGATGCATTTTGGCATCCCAGGATTGCTGTCTGCAGATATCTTGTAACATCCCTATGTCCTCTATATATAGAGTATGTTAGCCTGTAATCACCATCACTTCTAACCATCTAGGACAATTGCAAAGCTTAGAATAACGGAAGCTAAAATCATCATAAAATGATATGCTATTTTTCTTCAAAACTTTATCCCCAAATACTCCCAAGTTTTGTTGTTACAAAATTTATTCTGCACTTCATTCAAAGAGCTCAATAGAAATTTACAGTAAAATTATAGTACTGTAAGAATATGTCAATGCTTATGTTAAAACATAGGTTGAAGAGCTCCCCATCTTACTTCGAAAACTATTGGAACATTGCAAAGACAGGATTTCAACTGAAAAAGAACTCCCTTTTCTGGTATCCTTCTATTAGCTTTTGATAGGAAATACGCATGGTATGCAGTTTTTGTATGATAGTAGACAGTTGTTTCTTAAGGAATCTCATGCCAAACCAGCTGATGTTCCCCAAATGAATTGGATCGAAACCTTGAAAACCCCTAGCTAGCATGGCTGATAGTCAATGGTTATATGAATTACACCCAACATATCAAATGGATTACCTAGGCAAAATCAACTTGTGCTTGGAAACACACAGGGATCTTTCAGAATTGGAAAATTTCTCACTGCTCCCAGCAAATATTCTGGCTGTTCAGTGAATATAGAAATAATGTAAATTCTTGTTGTTCATGTCTCCATAAAAACATAAAAAGAGAAGTTTCTAAGTACCAGTGTTATGGAATACTATGTTCCATGCTAAAATCAAAAGAATTATCAGCTACAAAACATGATTAAATAATTTTTAATCTCTGTTAGCATGTGTATATGTGTGTTATGTATGTGTATGGATAGATTTTATTGAGAGCAGGCAACAGAATTTCATTTTTAATGTGGACCAGTATGTTCACAGTAAAAAAAATGACAATAAAGATTATCTTCATTTTTGGCCAATGTTGAGAACTGGTCCTATTCTTCTTTATTTCATATTATGTCCATGATAAAAATAATATGTTAGTTTTAATATACTAAATAACTAGATTAATATCTGGAGCTCCTACAGCTTTGTTAAAACAAGATGATGGTGCTTTAGTTTTCAGAAAGAGTTTTCATTTGAAGATAAAGAAGACTTTTCAAACAGCACTAAAGATATTGATGCCAGCCTTTTAGCAGTGTTGCCAAAAGGTATGTACAAGGCTTATAATAGTAATGTTTTCTTTATAAACAGCATCATAATATATGTATTATAAGACACTTAATCTTGGGAGAGAATTTATTTCAGTGCATGCTAAATGTGACAAAGCAGAATAAACATTAAATATATGTTCTTCCAATACTTCAGTTTTACTACCAAACAATGAAACTCGACTATCCATCAGCTCTTTGCTATGATAATCATTGTTTAGCTGCAAAAATTGAACTTGGGAAAGCATTTATTAGATGTTTATTCTGGCATGCTACATCTAAGCTATAAAGAATTAGTTATATTTTAATCATGTTATTCTTAAAGAGATTCAAAATTTTAGTAATATTTGCCTTTAAAGTCCATGTCTAATTGCAGTTGTTTAAAATCATATGTCTTGTTTCATTCAATGACTTGCATCCAATTAGATCTCTAAAGTGGGCATAATCATATGTGATACACTGAATGAGCAGACTGGAAGTTTTAACACATTTTCTTCATCAGAGAATTTGGAAGAAAATTATCTAATTTAACATTATTTGGCCTTAATACTCCACAAGCACGGGGGGGGGGGGGGGTTAGAGAGAAATTGGAACAATTTGTGAGGAATTGGGATTTGAGAAGTGTGCTTAATATACCTATTTCATGTCTTAGAACCCTTCCAGCTCTCCTCCTACATACAAACGGTTGTAAATGTAGACTCCATTCAAAATGGAGACATAGAATCTTGGGTGAACAAATTTCTCACCCTTGGTCTAAATGTTCACCCTGGACTTCAGCGTGTTGTAATCACAGATCCAGTCTAGATAACATTGAGATGTGACTCGCATTACTTATTATAGAAGAAGGCAATTGCTGTTTTGCACAGGTGCAGATTACCAGATTGTAGTTTCCCTTAAGTGCAGCTATTCTGTTTTTGAATGTTTTGACTTTTCTTGCTAAGTGTTTGGTACCACATTGCTTCCCTGAAATGATTGAGGTTCTCATTGCAACACAGTTGGAGCAATGCATAAAAACAAATGTCCATAGGTTGATTTATATGAATTTCTAACTCTTCTTTCTTTTGGACCATCTTAAGATATCATTATTAAACTATACTGAATGCCTTTCTCTTGTGGCTGAAATTACAATAAGGCATTCGATTTTGCTTTTAAAATAAATTGAAAAATACTGACCTGAGGTCTGTATCTAAGAGGAAACTTTTTATGCCTTAAGAAGTTTCTGCCAGATATTTGTACCTTTGTTATAATAGGAAGATTGTTCCTTTCTGTAATTTAAAGCGCCTTGAAAGGCAATGAAGTAGGCCAAAATATGCTCTGTCTTTTATTACTTTGATATATTTGGGATATTCCTAGGGCTTGCATATCTCAACTCCTGAAATGTGTCTGTTGGGTTCATTAAACATACTTTGAACAACATACGGCTTTTAAATGATTTCTAATGGAATATATTTTAGCATTACCCAGTTTATATTATGGAGGCAGCATGCTAAATAAAGTTGCTGCTGACATTCTGCATGCAAAATCTATAAAATAAAAGTATTTAAGGAAATCTGGGACAGATCATTACTAAGGCACATACTTTTAAAATGCCTCTTCCTTCTTTTCTAATCATTCTGTTAAATTGTGCCTAAGCTGGTTAATATTCTGTAGCTCTCTTGGGCTGGCTAGGGAATTCTGGAAATTGAAGTCCACACTTCTTAAAGTTGCTAAGGTTGAGAAACACTGGGCTAAACTTTATTCAGCATATCTGTATGAAATTAATTGTCTTTAGTAGAATTGTGAATGGAGTAAGTAGGTGACTTGCATTAGTGTCATATACACTGCAGGATGTACAGAAAAAGCACCATTTAAGGTTGTTTTTTTCCGGGAATTTATAATCTTCTGTATATCTGATGTGAATTTTGTTTACATGAACATATTGCAGAAGTCTGTGTATTAATTTGTTTTTACATTAGAATTAAAATATATTAACAATTCTCTATGTAGATAGGATCAAACTAGTTAATTGATATGACCTCTCTGGAATTTAAAGCATGGAAAATGTATAGCCCTAGATAGATTTGTGTGTGCTATTTTTGTCTCAAGTCTTGCTCAGAAAAGTTTTGGGAAATACTTCTCAAGGCCATTTCTTTTATTTCACCTACAAAATTGCATCATATATACCGTATTTGCCGGCGTATAAGACGACTGGGCGTATAAGACGAGCCCCCAACATTTCCACTCAAAATATAGAGTTTGTTATATACTCGCCGTATAAGACGACCCCCCCACTTGGAGGCATGTTTTTCAGGGCAAAAAAGTCATACGCCGGCAAATACGGTAAGTTGTAACACTTGGGGTATTCTGGATATAATTCTTGATTGACACCCCCGCCCCTTTCCCCCAAACTTACAAAGCCACCAAAATGCTTTAGAGAGGCAGCTTCGCCTTTCTCAGGCTGGCACTCAATTCCTCTCCCTTTCTTTGTGACACCGTTGAGCGATCTGCTTTTTTCAGGGGAAAATAAATAAATAAAAATAAAACTGGACGAAAAACAGTCGAGTTGTTTCTTAATATCTTTCCACCTCCCCAACCAATTTGTCTCCAAGGGTGCACCACACTGATTGCGACATTAATTATTTCAGAGAGAGGGGTTGGGGGGGGGGGAGAAATCTTTGCTTCCTACTGTGGCTTTTTCCTGCGCATCGTTTTTTCCCTTGGCTTTGTGGTTGTTACTTCTTACAGGGAGGGATAATGAAATACCCACGCTGGGAGAAAGCGGAAAGGATGTCTATTTTCCTGCTCACTAACTTTCCAGAAAGCGTCGAGTTCCTACCCCGAGACTTGCCAAAAGTCCAGTTCATTCATTTGCTACCTTTCTCCAATGAGATCCAGATCTGTTTCCACAACGCGCTTAGGATCTTATCTTATTATCTTATTATTATCTTATTAGCCTTGCTCGGTCCGTCCAAGAGAGAAGAAGGCAGACGGTTTTGCGCTCAGGGAAAAAGGAAAAGAGCCTCTCGCTCACGCTGCACACTGCCCCCCCCCTCCACCCCAGCAACGCTTAGGAAAAGAGTTACACAAGCATCCTTTCCAGAAGTGAATCGGGGGGGGGGGGGGAGGATTCGGAGCAAAGGCTGAAACCGGGAAGAGAAAAATTCCCAAAGAAAATCGCACGAGCAGCATCCCATTCCTGGGAGAAAAACAAAAAAACAAAAAACACAAACTCTTCCCGAAGCACAAAAGCAAGGATGGCGCTTTCTCAGCTTTGAGCTGCGTCGCTGCTCTCCCACCCCCTCCACTCGTCCCCACGTGCGGTGAAGTTTCTGCCACTGGGGGGGTGGTGGAGGGGGATGGAAGGAGGTGAGGGATGGGGGCAAAGCCTGGAGCCTGCCTGTCCGCTCGCACGAGCGGAGTGGGTGGGTGGGTGGGTGGGGGAGGAGAAGAGAGACTCCGGCTGGGCTTGAAGGGGCTTCGCAAGTTGCGGAGCTCCGCCTCCGTCGCTCTTGCACCGAGTGACAACAACGTATTTGCCGGCGTATAAGACAACCTTTGTTATATACTCGCCGTATAAGACGACCCCCCCACTTGGAGGCATGTTTTTCAGGGCAAAAAAGTCGTCTTATACGCCGGCAAATACGGTACCTATACTATAGTATAGTACTCAATGCAAACTTTGCATTATTGCATCTGTTCTTCAGTGACTCATTTGGAAGTATGGATCAATGGCCTTCAGGCATTAGATCATATAAAGAAGGAAAGTCCATGTAAGTTGGAGGGTAAAAAAATATACTTGACGTTATTCCTTGGAGTTTCAGTATGGTTCCACGGGTAGCACGCTAAAAGAAATGCATGCTCTGATCATAAGATCCAGTTTTGTATTAAAGGCTAGAATGAAGAGGACATGAGTTTTAGTCCTTCCCTAAATGTAAAAGCTAGTTGGATGGTTTTTGATCAACCACATTCTCTCAGCCCTAGGAAGACAACGTTGGTGACAAATCAGTTCCTAAAATGTGGACAAGAAGACTGTAGAGACTTGTCCAGGCAGTCATCGAAAGTCAAGACTGATTTGAAGATACAAAATGTTAGACTCTTTTGACCAATGCATCCAATAATGGTCATTTTGAAACTCTGAGCAGTGTATAATTTAAGTAATCATAATATAAAAAGTTCTAAAAATATAGACAAACATTTTTAAAAAAATAAAAATTAAAAAAATTAAAATTACAGACCACAATCACCTATTGCCCATAATGAGAAAGCCACCTTAAAATGTTGCTAGCTCCCTGGAACCCCCTAACCTGGCTACATAACCACGTCTTGAGGGGCTTCTTAAATGTTAACAAGGACAGAGCTTACCTAAATTTAAAGAAATAATATTCCATAGCATAATAAATAATATTCTATAGCAGGGAAGTCCCACCTCCTAGGCCCCATCAAGTGTAGCGTGTCCTCTCTATCAAATCTAATGGGATGGGCTGATATAATCAGGAATTATCTCAGATAATCTCATCCCATGCCATGAAAGGCTTTAAAGCAGGGGTCTCCAACCTTGGCAACTTTACGCCAAACGGACTTCAACTTCCAGAATTCCCCAGCCAGCAAAGCTGACTTCTGGGAGTTGAAGTCCACTTGGCTTAAAGTTGCCAAGGTTGGAGACCTCTGCTTTAAAGATCAAAAACAGCATCCTGAATTGAACCAAGAGAAAAAAACCTTGCAGTACGGTCTTCTGTAAATATCAGCTATGGAAGAAAGACAGTGAAGGTAATTGAACAAATAAATGTTTAAGGAATAGGTTGTAATACATTTTGCTTTCATACACCAAAATTGGTGCATGACTATATTATGGCTCCCACTTCAGAGTTCAAACAACACAAAACCAAAAGCAGCCGTTCCAAAACTTAAATCCAACAGAAAGGAGTCTTACTAGATAACGGCTGTCATAAATTATATTCCACAGCAATAATACACGCTCTGTTCAGCAAAACAGTCCTGGTACAAATTCTCAAACCTCCGAGCCTCTGCTGAAAACCTCTTCACGCAATCAGTCACTTTGTTCCTGACAATCTTCCCCCACACAGCTGTGTCCTTTTATACTCCTTGAGGCAATGTGCTAATTACTGACTCGCCCTCCTCCTTCTAACTGAGTTTGCCTCCGTAAACCACCTAGATGGGCGTGTCAATCTCCCTAAATCAACGTCTGGCTTGATGCCTCCCCACAGCTTGACGTTTCAGCCTCCTTCTAGTTCTGGCATCAAGCCACAATCTGTCAGCTTCCTCGCTCGACTCTTCTGACTCATTTTGTGGATCAATTGCTGGCATGAATGAGGTCGAGGGTTCAGGTGAAGAGTGTCTGTGTGATAACCTCTCATCCCCCTGGCTCACATCTGTGTCTTCTAATAATTCAGACTCCAAATTCTCAGCAGGCTCCAGCCTTTCATCCTCAGAGTCATCAGAGTCAAAACTCACAGCAGGATCGATCCTTTCAGTCACAACATATCATTATAGAACATTTTAGGTATAAGTTAGAGCAGCATTTTTTAACTCTGTAAACTTTAAGATATGTAGACTTCAGCCAGCTTCTCTGGCTAAGGGATTCGGAAAGTTGAAGCCCACATATCATAAGGTTGAGAAACACGGAGTTAGACTATTAATATTATTCTGGTAGAGTTAGTTGCTTGCAAACTTTTGCATAATACATATCCTATGGAAAGCATAAAAGATAAACCGGATAAGGAAATAATTGGTAAGTGATCACTACCTCATTTCATTTAATGAAAATTGCTTTGTGAAAACACAAGCATTTCTTTTTACAACTATATTGTTTCAAATTTGTAATGTTTATTTATTTTTTATTTTTTAGTTTCTGAATTAAGAAAACTCTTTGAACCAAACAGGCAGGATATTTTGGAAATGAAAAGGTATTTCTCCATTTTTATGTTAAGCAAAGTAAAGATGGTTTTATAAAAATTGTTTCATCTTCCTTTTCCCTAGGTGACATTTATGTTATACTCTCTTATTTTTATTATCTCTTTTACAGGAAAGAGAGGATAGCTAGGCGTTTAGAAGGTATTGAAAATGATGTTCAGCAAAATTGTCCTGGGTTAGTCACCCATCGTTTGTTAGAAGAGGATACACCAAGATACATGCGTGCAACTGATCCATATAGTCCTCATTTTGGTAAGGAGTATATTTGTGATATATGTTGATATGTCCAACTGCTGTCGTAAGTTTGAGCTCTTAGAAGCTGTCATTGGCTAGAGTGTTACAAATGTTACTGCTTTTACGTTATAAAGACTATTAGAACATTTTTAAAGGTATTTTATCATTGGTTAAATTCAGACATGCCTGTCCACACAGTATCAGATCTGGAAGAAACATCTATTAGAAAAGCGGAGATCATTTTGGGCTGCATTCACTGGTACTCCCCAACTGTTTCCAAAGAGTTCTTCATCTCTCTAGTGTAGATACAATTGGTTCTAAACTTATGACCACAATTACCACTGGAGTTTTGGTTGTAAGTTGTTTTGATTATAAGCTGAGGAACAAACATGGCCATGCCCAATTTTTCAACGATGGTCATTAAGCAAATCATATGACTGTAAGTCTTAATCATGTGGTTATTAAGAGGACCATATAATTGTTAAGTGAATCTGTTCTCCCAAATAGGTGCTTTTTTGCCATCAATAAGCAAAATACATTGGAAACTGGCAAAAAAATTGCAAACTGTGGTCACAAGAGATGCAGTGCATTGTTTTATAATGGCTGGAAGTCTTTATAGTTGTTAAATGAACGATCTTAAATTGAGGATTGCCTGTAGATCAGGAGTGTCAAATTTGACTTAATTGAGGGCCGCATCAGGATTGTGTTTGATCTCAGGGGGCTGGGGTGATATGGCCAGGGTGGGCGTGGCCAGCTCGACATCACTGGCTCCATTTTCGCTGGCAGAGAACTGCAGGAAGCTGTTGTAGCTGAAAATGGAGCCCAGGCTGTCCATGGGTGGATGGGCCATGCATGGCCTCCCTGAGCTCTGTTTTCACTGGCAAATAGTGGCAGGAGGCTGTCACAGCCGAAAATGGAGCTGCATGCAGCCCTCCCTCACTCCATTTTTGCTTGCAGAGGCATTGCAGGCCAGTCCTTCATTGTTTCCAGGGCAGCCACACGGGCCAAATCTATCCGGCCCCTAGGCCTTGAGTTTGACATCCCTGCTGTAGTTAGGTCATGAAGCTGCAAGTCAAAGAAGGATCAAAGCAAATATCCCTGTTTTTTCTCTAGTGGCATATTGTAAATGCTCATCACTTCTAGCTCCAGCTGACAGTATGTTGTATCACACAGTTCAGATACACAGATGACTTTATAAGGACCTAGAAAAATCTGTTTACATCAGCATCAAAGTTAGCCTGAATATCGGAAGAAAATAAAGCATTCAAAGTGTAGGATTGCAGAGCTTTGGATATGTGGTAATTTTTTAAAAATACAAGTCATACTTAGAAATAACTGTTTTCTAACCTTAAATGCTTAAAATATATTTTTAAAAATATTTATAAACACACATTGTTTGATTCCGAATGCAGTAGAAACCAGAGAATTCCTGACTCTACAGACATAAAATGTCTTTAAAAATGTGATTTTGATGAAAAATCCATTTTTTGAACCTGAGGGAAAGAAGGAAAAAAATCTTAAAAAGTCCATAACATCTTTAACCAAGATCTGATGAGTTTCCTAACTCAAAAGCAATTGGCAGAGAAGTGAAAGGCTTGCACCCCAGTTCTATTAAGCTTTTTCACAGATGTGTTGGGACTAAAATTCCTAGAATCTCAGCCAGCAAGGTCAGGTATTTACTAGTTTGAAGAAAGCTGCCCTGCCTGTGTTTTCAACTGTAGCTGTGGTAAATAGAAATACTTTAAATTCAAATCATTACTTAAATTCTTTAAAGTCCAGCATAAGCTTTATGCTGATACACCTGATTCTTTTTTATTATAGGAAGATCAAATGAAAAGGAATTTTCAGATTCTCTATTAGAAAACCAGCCTAGATCCAGGCATCAAGTAGAATCCACAGCAGGAAAAACAAAAACCCCTTCTTATAGTCCTTTAGTCATGGATCTCCAAGGACTTGAGTCCAAAGCTGAGAGGATAGCTAGGTACAAGGCAGAAAGACGTCGACAACTGGCTGAAAAATATGGAGTCTCCATAGATTCTGAGATGGATTCAGAATATTTATCCAAATGCACAAGGACAAAGAAAGACCAAGATGTGTCTGAGAAGAAAGTATTGAAAAGTGGGGAAAAAGAGGATGAAGGCAAAGATCACAGTTCTCCATATTCATTGAGGTTTGAGAATAAGGAGGTGAGGAATACTGCTTCTGAGTCCAAAGAGTTTCCTGGCCATGATGACAAAGAGAATTCTCCGGAAAGAGAAAATCTCCATTTAAATGAAGGCAGCAAACCAACAGCCCCTGAACCTGGCTTGATCAAATGCAAAACACCCTCTGTACCAGAGAGTTCCACAGGTTTCTCACTTCTGGCCTATGACTCTTCCGTAAATGAAGTGCCAAGTTTACCAAAGCAACCTCAGAGTGTTTCTCTTTCCTTAACAAAGCCAGGAACATCACTAAGTCCTTCTCTGAATGACTCCAAATTAGGGTAAGTCTGCTATTTATGTCATTGTTCACTGAACAGCTTTGATTTATATGATCTTATCCAAAGTCTTTATAGTAGCTCAAAGTTTGACTCTACAATTAAAATGATTATAATAAAGGAAATGCTGAAGAGAAGAAGAGAGAGGCAAAGGGTTGCTCATATTTTTAGAAATGCATCTATTGTGCACCCAGATTTAACATTAGCGGTAAAAGTAATATTTAGAAATAAGTCATATTTGATTTACATTACTAATAATATAGGGGGGGAAAGAAAGGGAAGTGATTCTAAAATGAGTTTTGAAAAAGAAACTGAAACAATGATATGGATAAAATCTTACGATTGAAAAGCTCCCTGAATAGAGCATTAATAGAGAATGCTTGAAAATCCACCGAAGAAGCAGAAAAATATGAATGCATACTTGTTTATACTTCTATTAAGAGGGTGAAAAAAACCATAAATAATAACAGGCCCAACTTATTGGGTTATGCAATGAGAGTTTTATAAAGACCAACTCCTGTTTTTTAAAGCCTTGTTGAGAATGGAAAGAATTTGAAAAATAAATCAAATTAACACTTCAAAACATGATAACAGCAGTGGATAGGGACATTTCCCTGGAAGTTATTGTTTAAGTATATCTGAAGGGTCAATTTTTCCTCACTGTGTCTTATATTATACATGGAAAACATATGTTTCATTCATTATCAACCATTTGCAAAAGTGTACTTAAGTGTTTTGTTTTGAGGTAAGAGAGTAAATCTATCCTTGAACCCTATTCCATGGAATTAAAATAATTGAATAGTGCTCAGATTTATTAAAGCAACTTATAGTAGAACTAGTGGGTGAAGATACAGGTTGTCCTTGACTTAACTGAGCCCTGAATTATGGTTGTAAGTCATTCCATTTGTTAAGCAAGTTATAATGTGATTGTGCCTGATTTTAAGCATTTTTTGCAATGGTCACTAAGCAAATGCCACATGTATTAAGCAAATCCATTGTCTGCAATGGCTGTGGTTTTTTTTTTAACCAGAAACTAGAAGTAAACACCAGGTCCATGACTACGGGATATTGCAAACAGCCATAAATGCAAACTGATTGACAAGCACTCAAAATGCAATCATAGGACTGTTGTAGGGTAGCTATTGGAATGTTAAATCTAGTTCATTAAACGCCCTTTTTGGGAGTCCAATGAAGTTTCAAACTGTTGCTAAGCAACCACTCATAAGTCACTTTTACTGCCTGTATAAGTATGGCCATATCAAACATTCAGGACATACGAAGTTCTGTATCAATGATGACATTTCATAATATAAAGCAACAGACAAAATCAAGGTCAGGCAAAAGGGTTTCCAGGTGATAAGCCTAGACTTAAGAGTTAGGAAGCAAAAGGCACAAGATTGGTTCAGATAAACAATTGGTCCAGTCTCACACAGCTGTCAGATCAGGAAAGAGATTTATGCTAAATAGGCAGTGGTGTATTAACCATTAAGCCGACTAAGCAGTGCTTAGGGCATCAGGCCCAAAGGGGCACCCCAAAGTAGAGAAAAGTTTCAACGCTACATCAGTGAAAGAAACAACTTTTGGAATACGCTTTGGAGTTTATTACGATCTTTGAACGTTGATTGAATACGTTGTTTCCTATATAAAACTATCAGTTGGGGAAGCACTACTGTAATAACATCCACTTCTCCATATAAGTGGTTTGGATTCACATTATCTTTTTATTACTTTATGATTACCTAATATAAATTCTGAAGAGTACAGAACAACTTTATTTAAACAACTTTATCATCACTTTTATTATGCTTTCAAAGATAAGGCAAAAGTGCTAGTTCTTAAAACTGACAATTATTTTAGATATGCTTCTTCCATTCAATTTATTAAAAATTCTACAGCAATTAGTTACTAAGAAAATAAAACTCTAGCCATAGATTTTGATCGAAAAGATGACAGTTACTGCCCTTTTCTTTTTTTCAAACATTTTAATTAAATTATTAAATATTATAAAATACAAAATATAAAAGTAAATAGAGGAACATTAAGGAAGGAAAGAGAAGTGAGGAAGAGTAGGAGAAAGAAGAGAAAAAGAAGCATTGACTTCCAACTCTCTCTTTTGCATTAAAATACTACTCTGATTAAAGAAAAAAAAAACTACTTTTGTTTCCACACGGAAACCACTTCTGAATTTCGTGCTTGATGTGGAAAAGAATGTAACTTTGACTTTAGGTTTTATAGATTAGATTGATAGATCTTTATAGAAATGAGTTGTTCTTATTATTATGGAAAAACAAAAAGTTGTGACTTGATGCTAATGCCTTATTTTACTGCAACAGTTACTGCCTTTTTCAGCGATGCCCTCCAGGAATTCACTTCTGTTTTATAAAATTGCCCATAGTCTTGGTAGTATTTTGTATTAGATCTAAAGAAATAATTCCTAATGCAATTTTCCACATTTCTTTGCTCTGTGATTTATTTCTTCAGTGTAAAGTATTTCTATAGCAGTGTTCCCCAACATGGTCCTTTCTATAAGTCTACAAGTCTCATAATTCCCAGGGCTAAATACCTAGGAATACATCAAATATATCTGGAGTATACCACATTTGGAAACAATTGAATCAAATTTACTGATTCCACAAAGATCTGGGCTAAGACACCACACTGGGAATCATGGACTCTGTTCCTCTTTTTTTGTTATCACTTCGGTCTCTTGTTTCAGGATTAGCATTTTGCCAGTAATTTGAAAAAGTGTAGCTTCCAGATGGCTTCAAAAGTTAATAAAACCTAGTAAGACTGTACAGTGTCTGGATTTGAAGAAGAAAAGATAATTTGATGTCTGCATTGGTATGGATATTGCATCCTTAACATTTCCTAAAAAACATATGATATAAAATAGTGCTGATACGTAGTATGTGACACACCCCAAATTTCATTTTCACTTTTGTATCCTGATCAGTGCACAAGTATTACTTACTTTTACCAATATCAGACAAGAAAAAAGTAGTTGCTATGAGAAACCGACCTAAAACAGCTATAAGTCTTATTAATAAAGAATTTAAGTTTGTAAATTATTAAAAGATATAGTTTTGTTTCAGTGTCAAGCCCTTTTTTTACACATCACTGCTTGCTTTCAAGCAAAGAAAGACAAATGGGGTAATCTTATGCATATCTACTTAAACTAAATCACATAAATAAAATGTTTTTTGTTTACATGTATATATTTACTTATTATAATTTAGGTATGTGGGAAAGTGAAGAATATTCTTCCATTAACTCTTTTTCAAGTCCAGGATATTTAAAAGTTTTGAAAAATTATGCTTCTTAAATAAAATATATATTAAAAATAAATATTTTGTTTCTAATAAAAGATTTAGTCTAATAATATAAGAGATTATAAGGAAATGCTTAAGTTTTAAATTAACTTCTGTCTTGATATTTAGAATTCCATTCCCCTTTTAAGTCAATGTATCATTTGTTAATTTATTATTAACTATTAACTTATTTCTTCAATATTTCTTATTCAAATTAAATAATATTTCTTATTTAGATTCAATATTTAGAAAAATATTTATTTGTGCACCCTATATTATGGGCTTGTTTCAGTAGAAGTAACTTTTGTAGATGGATCTATAGTTATATCCACATACAAGACATGTTTAATTAGGGTCAATAGAGGAGTTGAGTGTACAGTGTTTTGAATAGTATCTGAACATTTTCTGAAGTTCTGTTTTCTGTAGTAGTACAGGGAAAACAAAATCCGATTGGTTTCTTCAGAAAGATTCAGATGGGGACACAACTTCACTTATCAACTGGCCCTCCAGGTATTTTACCATGTAGCTGTGTGGTATAAATAATAACTGGACTATAATCTTTCCCTCTTTTTCTTTCACCCATAATCATTTAATAAATGTCATTAATATGTATTGATGGCATGGAATCATAAATCACTGTTTCTAGTTAATGGACCATTTTGGTGCACAATGTTCCCCTAGGAAATCCTGGTCACTCACAATTAATTAATAACTTGTTAATAGAAATTGCTCCATGGCTATAGATATAGTGGAACTGGCTAAATTTAAGCTTTCTTTTCACAGTTTTATGTCATTAACTTACTTGGTTGGCTTGCATTGAGTAACTCCACAGAATAACAGCCTGTGAAATGTTGCAAGTACAAAATGCAGAAATGTTTCCCATACTGCGTTGTTTCCCATAATATTTAATTCAGTAACTTTTCTTTAGAATCATGAAAATCTTCATGCTTACATATAGATGAGTTATGCTCACTGAAGGAGCCTTCATTGACTAACAAATGCTAGTATGTGGCTAGCTTTAATAAATGTTTGACAATTTCACTAAATATGTCACTAAAAATGTCAGTGATTCTTAATCACAATTTTTGATATATCACTTTCAGAATCATGAGCTACATTTTTAAATAGCACAAGATTTAAGAGAGCCAGTTTGGTATAGTGGTTAAGACAGGAGTTGGTGAGTTCTAGTCCTACTGAGGTAGAAAGCCAGCTAGGTCTCCTTGGACTAGTCATTTTCAGCTCTAGAAGAAAAGAAATGGCAAATGAGTTCAAAATCTTCCCAAAAAACTGCGGAGAATTGTCCAGGTAATGTCCAGGGTCAAAGCTAACTTGCAGGCACCCCCCGCCCCAAGGACACAAAATTGGGAATAGGATAATGCCAACTGAACTGGCATGTCCCAGACATCTGGGTTGCAATTTTGATAATAGAATGTTTGAATACATATCCAGTATAATATACAGTGTTCAGCACCTTATTTTTTTCTGTTTGATCATTAACTATTTTTCAAAACATGTCTTTTACAAATAATTTATGTATGTTGAAAATATAATAGTTCTATGTGCAAACCAAAATTTAAGGTTCTCTTTTCTTTCTGTTCAGAAACTTGTATTGTTTATATTTGAAACAATTAGCCCTCATTAGACATACGTTATCCATAATTTTATAATCATTCTTATCAGGAAATCGATTAAGCTCCAATTTGGTGTTAAATTGCCTGCCAACACCTCTGTATGTTTACCAAGTTCCTTTCCCAGCAGATTCTACTTGTTTTATATTCTTTTAGTTAAAAATAATAAATATATGGGAAGTTGACAAGTATGTTTCCAACAATACTTCAAAACATTGATTTGATGGCTAGGTTTCCCAAGACATTATGTGTCAGAAATGGTGGTTGACAGCTTCATTAGAAAGTGTTCATACTTGCTATAAAAAAAAGAGGCAGTAAAATGAAATGGGAAAGGGAAATTCTAGGAGGTTTCAAAACTTTATAGAAAACATTTTTATCAGCTTTCTTCCTAGTAAAAAAGTGTTCTGTGTTTGGATACATTTTCCACAGCAGCCATTTTATAAAAGTGCATATGACAACATGTCAAAAATCCAAGTATTTCCACGGTTCTGCAAACATTAGAAAGAGGCATGTTTAACACATTTGAGAATAAATGGTCTAGTTATTATTTGGGAGGTGGACTATTCATTTAAGTCTATTTGGCCATATTGAGCTGTATATCCACCCTAGCAAATTAACATTGTAGACCATAAAAGTTCAAAACACTTTGCTTAGTGCATGAAAATAAGAATAGATGGAGAAGTAGCTATACTGAAATCAGTGACCAGAATCATGATATGAGTGGGGTGAAATTGACAACAGCTAGTTCATGGAAAGATTCTCTGCGAATTCCTGTTTTAACAATATCTAATACTTTAATGTTGCTGTCTCTTCCCAAAGTTGGTGCATGTTTTTTTTTCTCTCTTTCTCTTTTTCTTAGTTACAGCTGAGCCACTTTTTAATCCATTTTTCTTTCTTAAAGAGTAAAAGTTAGAGAGAAACTGGTGAAAGAGGACAGTTCTCGTGGAAGCCTTGAACTTCTCACAGACACTATGTCTCAAAGAAAAATTCTCCCAGTACCCGTTTTTGTTGTGCCTCTTCAGTCAGAAACATCTGCTTTCCATAGAGTTGCCAGTAAGCCATTTGATTTAGCCTGCCAACCAGCACAAGGCTATGTTCAGCCTGCTGGAATTGCTCATACAGCTCAAGTGGTAGCACCTGAAGAACCAAAAAGGAATCCTACTAGCAGGATTCCCATACAGGCCAATACCAGCTTCATAACTAGATTCCCACCAGATGCTATGATGGACAGTGAGAAATGTCACGTGATTCAGAATTATGGATCGTCCAAGCTTGATTATTCTGGATTGGAGGCTGAGAAGGAAAGACAAACGGTTCAAGCTTCAGAGATGCACAGGCAAATGAAGAGTAGAGAGGCCTACTGTGGAGAAGGTGGATTTAAGAAAGATTCAATTGTGAAGCTAAAGCCTTTGAAAGTTGAGAAGGATCTAAAGAGCTTTAAGGAGTGGATGCCTGAACTTAAAATGAAGATTCATGAGAATGTTGAGAAAACTGAAAAGGTTATGTACCTGCGAAGTGCTAGAGGGATTGCTCAGGCCCAGGAAGAGATTACTGTGAAACCTAAGTTCCTTATACGGTCCCTATCTGATCACACTGGATCTCCTAAACTAGAAGTTTTTAAAAGTAAAGAACATGTTACAAAGAACACCATGCAGTTTCAAAGCACTGAAGGAAAGATCCCCAATGGTGAGATTACTGTGGTTGATACAAAAGTTTCTGTGGCCCAACTCCGTAATGCCTTTTTGGAAACTGCTAATGCCAAGAAGAAACCTGAACTGTAGGTGACATTTTCTGGTTATTATTGTTATTACTACTGCTACTATTTAACTGATGTGAACACTTGCACGTCCTTGGCATAAAAGGCACTCAAAACTCAACATCAGTTGCATTCTGCAGCACTTCAAATACCCGGTGTAATTTCCATCTAGTATGTTTGACACGATGTTGGCCTCCATCTTCTTCATACATGCTTCTGCTTGCTTAGTGCAAGTTCTGATGTTGGGTGGCTGGAATGGAATGACTTTGTGCTTTTTTTCTGTGCATGGTTTTTCTGGAAGCATGCAGAGTGAGCAATAATGGACTGATTTGATGGGATGCTTACATTTGACCTTCATCTTTCTCTTTTCCCATTCTTCTTCTCTCCCTGTTCATCCTAATTCTTTGTGTTATTCCCTCTCTCCACTTTCTGCCATGTTAAAAAGCGAGTCTCAGGGTGAGATGCAAACATCAGGTACTGATTTGTTGGGCAGTGCTCAAAGCGAAAAAAGGTCACGAAAGCCAAGACGGTATTTTTCTCCTGAGGAAAATAGAAAGACTTCTGAGAGATTTAGGACTCAACCCATAACTTCAGCAGAGCGAAAGGAAACAGATCGGTAGGCATTTGTAAAGCTGAGAACACTGAATAATAGTCCATATATTGCACTTTATATTAATAAAATAAACTAGACTCTTCAAGGTCTTTCAGGATTTCTTTGTTTGTTTTTAAATAAAAATTAAATATTATTCAGCCAGACTAATAATGCAGTTGGAGGTGGCTGATTTGGAGGGAGTGTTTTTATTATACATTGATACATATGCACCCACGCATATACATAACTACATTCTATTCCATACAGGAAACAAACTGTCTTTAAATTTTCAGTATGTATTCTAAAGTAAAAATAGTAGCTTATCCCTGCAATAGATTCAATTTATCTATAATGTTTTAAGCAATTTTTTTAAAAAAAAATCTGAAATCAGTGCTAGATGTAATCATTGGGGGAGTGTTTTAAGGTGTTTTATTTTTATTATTTATGTAATGAATTACCTGATTTCATTCTCCTTCATGCAACTTACACCTGGCTGGAATTGCTTGCGATCCTGCTTTCAGGTTATTTGCAAACAAAAGATTATTGCAAACTGAAACACTATCTTATTTGTGGTTTCTCCTGTCCTCCTTGACTTAGTTTATCTTTTTCCTTTGTAAAAAAAAAGACCATTGATTTATCCTTTTCCTTTGTGAAATTTCCATAGGTCTACTTTCAATCCAGAAATGCCATCTCCTGAAGGTAAGATTATTATTTTTTTGACCCATACTTTTTTCTTGACTATTTTCATTTTACTTTATTTTTGCTTATTACATTTTATCCCAGTATAATCTGGCATCTTTTGATTATATATAAAAACATATTAACATCCATGATAAGTTAAAAATGAAAAGACCAAAATGCATCATAAAATAAATCTGACTAAAGCAATATAACAACAATAAAATGAAAGTTCATTAACTGAATTAAAAGCTCTTTGTAACATCCTGTTACAAAGCCATCAGAAAAGGTCCAGTCTGTTCTTGGTTGGAAGGCTATTCCAAAGCAGTTAAAAATGCACCTCTTTCATCCCTTTTCACTTCCTGGAAGTGGGGAATTACGGAGTTTTAGCCTGGATTATCTACCAAATATTCCAATGTAAATTGAAATAGATGATCTGCAGGCACCAATTCAGCACCAGCATTTTAAATTATATCTGAAAACCAATGAGTAGTTAACTGAGGATCCTTAGCATAAGATATCATAAGCTTCAGAAAGCCACCATGTTCTGAATAATATTTAAAAGAAGGCCTCTGTAGAATGCATAGATGGTAATGAAGGTATGAATTAATTTAGCCAGGTCCTCCAGCACCAGGGAAACTACAGATGGCACACCAGCCAAAGTGAATCAAAGTCCCTCTAGCCATTCTGTTGAGAAGCCACAGTTCCAGAGGCAACGCTTGCCTAGCCAGAGATAATACTGACACCAGTACCCCCACCTTATTACAACCTCTATTCTGCTGTTGAAGAAGTGAAGGAAAGAATTTGCAGGATGGGGTTGATGTATCCAACACAGAGAAGTCATCCAACAGTTTGGATTGTGCTAGCATTATTATGTTGATCTATCCAACTTTATCTTATCACCCCAACAATAGAAAGATGCTATCAATGTCTTCTCCAGGTGGCTAGAGACTATAGCAGTCTGGGTGTAAAAGAACTAGCTGTTCTCATTTCTATCTTTCTTGAGTTCATCTTCTGGTAAACTTCAGGTGGTGAACAATTTGGAGTGTAAGAGAACTAGCTATTCTCATTTCTGTCTTTCTTGAGTTCATCTTCAGCCAGTTCTCTTACACCCAGACTGTCATACCCTTCAGCTATCTTGAAGTGATGAGATGGAATAGAATAATCTGAATATTAGAATAAAGGAATATGAATATGAATATGAATAGAATAGAATAGAATAGAATAGAATAGAATAGAATAGAATAGAATAGAATAGAATAGAATAGAATAGAATAGAATTAATCCAACCCCCTCCTCAGGCAGGAAACCCTAAACCATTTCAGTCAAAAAATAAAGATAAAGTTGGATAGACTAACATAATAATAATAATAACCACACTCCAAACTGTATTAGATATATTAACCACATCCTGTAAATTGTTTCCTTCATCTCTTCAGTAGCAGAATGGACACTGTAACTGTTATATATGTCTTTTGTGTATGTATGCCTATTTGTTTGTGGGGGAGGCCTATTCATATCTTTCTTGCTCCCTGCTTTTGTCTGCCTTTCATCCTGTTTGTTTCCAGTTCACTGTTTTAATGTTCGCTGATATTTAATAAATAAACATCAGGCTATATTTTTTTGCTAGGTGGACTGAGTGGAATGTTTTCCTAACCTCATCTGAATATATATAGGTTGCTGGATAGAAATTAATCTGAACATTACATGAACATCCTCTTGCCTTCATAGGGATGTTAAAGAATGGGAAGGGGGATTCAACCCTCCAGTATCACATAAGATGTAATGAAACAATAAGGATAATTTATTCAACATCTTGAGGGCAGCTAGTGATATTCTGGTAAAATAAGTAAAAGGTAAAGATTTCCCCTGTCTAGTCATGTCCAATTTTAGTAGGCGATGCTCATCTCCGTTTCTTAGCCAAGGGAACCAGCGTTGTCCGAAGACATTTCAGTGGTCATGTGGCCAGCATGACTACGCTGAGGTACACAGAACCCTATTACCTTATCACCAAAATGGTACCAATTTATTTACTTGCATTTGCATGCTTTCAAACTTCTAGATTGACGGGCTGGGGAAACAACAGGAGCTCATCCCATCAGACGGTGCTTGAGTATCAAACCCTCCAACCTTCTGGTTGACAAGCCCAGAGTAAATGTACATTTTCAAAAAACATCTGTTCTGAAAGGAAAAAGAAAGAAGACAGGCTAATTGTCAGAGAGGGACATTTTGACCTTAAAGGACTATGTAGGAGACAGTGCTTTTATGCTATAGTCATCAAGAAATGCATTCTTCTTTTAACTTTCAAGAGCCAGTCAGACAGGCTAAGTTTCTTTGTTGATGTGATAAGACAATTTTTAGAACTAAAATAAAGGATATCATTAGAGAGGTCAGGACTAGTGAATAAATCAAACAGCAACTGTAAAGGTCACATCTGGTCTCAACTTGTGCAAACCTGTTGCAAATGAGGACTGTTCTAGATGCTATCAATTTTTGGAATTAATAACAAAAGGTAACGTGAAAACATCCTGACTGCTGCAGTTTCAAATGCTTTGCCTCTGGGGACATCTGGTAATAAACTTCATAAAATTTAAAGATCTGTTGGAAGATAGAGGTATAGGGGAGAAAAAATTGTGTTGAAGCATTATCTGTTTATCAGCCCCCACAGTGTCTTTCTTCTGAACCAGCTGGAGTAGACTTTAGGATGGTGATATAAGCAGAGGTTGTTGGTTATGCTTAAGTGTTCATGCCCTCTGTGCCAGCCCTACAAGATAAACCCAGGTGAAGACTGATTATAGGAAGATTAGAACTCTATTGAAATAGGTTATAGTAAAAGAATATTACAAGTCTGCCCATGTTTTCCCTTTTGTAATCTGAGAATTTAGGAGAGACAAGTTTTTTTCAGTATTTTTCCACCTGCCTGAACTTAACACAGATGGTCCTAACAGTTTCCAGGTGCCTTTTTCTCGGTCATCTCCATGACTCCATACATTCTGTAGAATACTATGGGTTTTCAACTGGTATCAGTGCCATTCATTCATCAAGGAACCAAATGGATCAGTGGATTTCTTGTTATTGCTGGTTATTACTGTAGCAATTCTTTGTCGTAGACTGATGATTACTGAAGGGGCTTACCTAATGAAACTCGGGTATGTGTTGCGGGGGATTAATTTAGATAGTCTGCCCTAGAGCCTAATGCATCATTTTTTCTGTAGATGAAGAGAAATTAGATGAAAGAGCTAAGCTGAGCGTTGCTGCAAAAAGATTGCTTTTCAGAGTAAGTATCTTATTTTTCTCAGAAGATGTAAATTTCTCACTATTTCAGTTTAAAGTGACAGCTGTGTGGATGTAAACTCTCACAATGCACTGGAGATTTCTTCTCCATAAATGTATTGGTCCAAGACCCAAGACCACTTTTTAAGCTAGTAATATATATCATTCCAGGAAATGGAAAAATCATTTGATGATAAAAGTGTTCCAAAACCACGTTCAAAAAATTATGCTGTGGAGAGAAGATTAAGACGGATGCAAGATAGGTCACGCACGCAACCTGTTACACCTGAAGAAGTGGTCATTGCTGCCACGTAAGTACTAGAAATATGTTAGTTAAAATATTTGCTTGGCTTCTTAATTAAAGAGTTTTACTTCCACTCATGAACTATTTATAGCTAGGTAATTATGAAGGGGTTCTTGGAGAGGGGAAACAATTTTTGGAAAATTATGGTAGCTTACGGGGAACAACTATCATTTTTTGGAGTCAGTCAGTGATTTATATCAGGACAATGTATATGTATAATTAATAAATCACAGATGATAATAGAATATACTTGATATTACTTAGCGTTACTAATGAAATGAAATCAAATATATCACCTTCCTTGACAAACTCTGGCAGTGAAATTTTATAATCTACCAGAAGATCAGAAGCCTTCTAAACGCGTGTACCATTCTAATAATGAATTCATATTCTAAATGTATAAAATCCTGTGGCTTTCCTTCAAATCTCTGTGCTCTTGTAGACAATATGAAAATCCGTTAAACTTTTTGGAAAATATTTCTGTTAACGGAGAACTTGGCCTTGGAACTGCAGTTTTATAAAATATTTATTGAACTTTATTCAACTCTGGAAAAGCTACTGTATGTGGTCTTGCATTGTGAAAACTATATGCTCTCCTTAATGCTGTCTTTTCTCTTTCCTTGTGAATTTTTCTTCCTCTTGGCTTTTTTTTTTTTTTAAAGTGAACCTACCCCTGCCTCATGTACTGTGAATACCCACACTGTAGTGGCAAGAATACCTAATCCCACTATAGTTAAGAGCACTATACAGCCTACCAGGTACTGAGAGACGCAACTTGCATGTTACAGGGAATGCAAGCTTCATTGCTAGCAAATGCATCTCTAAAAGCAAGTGTACTGGATGATTTGAAGATCTTTAAAGAACGGTTGTCTTTCTTATAAAAACCTTTCTTTGTCTACTGCAAAAGCAATCAAACATATTTTGCTTGTTGCACGCTTGATCCAAGAGCTTTTAGATTAGGCACAGTATCTGGTTTATTTCTTTTTTGTGGGGGGGGGGGAGGATCCCATTCTCAAATATAAAAGGGGGAAAACGCATGGAGAAAGTCAGATACAGTCATGGGACCTTCACTTTCCTTTCTGTCTCCAGTCCCTTAACAGTTAGAAAGATTAATGGAAAGATGAACAATTACGCCATCTATAGGTGTAAGCATAAATTCCTCCTGTTTGGGTTGTCCTTCAGCTGCTTAATAATTGTAAAAAAAACTGTTGAGGACAGAATTAAAAAATTAAAATATGGTGAGAAGAAACAATTCCGAATTTTCTTAAAGTCTAGTGATTTTATTGGGATTTCTGTTTCTGTTCACTATAGCTGGCTTTGCCAGATGGTAATTTTTAAATTGCAAAGATGGATTGATAGATTAACAAATATCTTTTTACCCACAATATAGACCCTCGTGGCTCATCCTTCCATCACTCTTCACTGTTTCCCAATGTCTCTGTATATTTATTGGGAGAATGTGTTTGAACTTAATAGGTCAAGAGAAAATGGATAATGGAATTAGTGAATCCAAAACAGGAGATTAGCGAGATTGAACATTTAGAAGACAATATAGTTCTTAATTTACCCCTCCAGCTATATAAAGTTATGTATGATAAATAAAGTATTCTTGAAGACTGCTCAACTTTTGTATTTAATCAAGAGTAAAATTCAGGATGATAGAAAGATACAATTATACTGATCTCACAAGCTTACCCTGATTCAAGCCATAAGCATTATGCATTCAATTAATGCCCACTGCCACTGCGTTAGCTTTCCCTGAAGTGTAAGAAATCTTGGCAGAATTTCCTGAGTCATTCTCTCTGTCTCTGTCTCGATCTTACATATGCACACACACAAAAACACATGCACACACATGCACACACACAAAAACACATACATATATATCTCAGACCAACATAGAGAATTTGAAATAATTGCCATGTGACAGTGTTGCTGTCATGGTTGCCTGTTTTGCATGTAGAAACCGATGCATGTAGTGCTCACTATAGATCTTACGAAACATCTGGCTCAGTCCTTCCTGCTCCTCCCATTAATTGAGCATGCTGCACAAAGATTAATGTTTTCCCCACTTCCTTTTGTGGGTAATACAAGCTTGAAAGACTGCATAAGCAGTAGTGATAGAATAGATATTGTTTTAGCATAGTCACTATTTTTCTTAAATTGTAGGCAGTGAGTGGAAAGGCTAGATAAGATGAAGGATATCCCTCACCCTAAGAATGGATTCCTGCAAAGCAAAAGTATAACGTGGTTCAAGAGTTTGGTATTCTTTTATGCATATTACTATGAAAACAGCACAAATGGCTTGCTATGTTCACAACAAATAAGGTCAATCAAAATGAGAGTTTTAAAAGAAAAAAACGTTGAATTTAATAGCTGAGAGTTTCAGAAGAGCCTTTCATCAAGATTATATACCCTCTGTCTTATGATATTTAGCTACACAGTATAAACTGGTATGGCATAGATAGGATTGCTGTGACTCCTTTTGGGTTTTAAAACACTGCCCTTAACTAAATGTGGAATATAGGATTAAGAAAATTTAATGCAGATCCAGCTGCACAAAACCAAGTTGCCAACACTTTTCTCCTGACTCTTCCTAGACCTTGTTTGAAGCTTTCCTAATTTATTTTTTTTAATGTCTCATGTGCTATTAAAGCTGCTAGGTATGTTAATTCTGAGGTTTCCTTTAAGGTTGCAAGCATCTGCCCACCAAAAAACATCAGCCAGAGATGAAATAAAGGAAGCCAAAGATGCTGCTGAGCAAGATCAGTCTGGAGAACCAGATTCTTCTACCCTGAGTTTGGCTGAAAAGATGGCCTTATTCAATAAATTGTCTCAGCCGATAACAAAGGCAGTTTTTGTAAAGAAGAGGGATCTTAGACAAAGGAGATTGAAAGCTCGTTATCAAACTCAACCTGTCACTCTTGGAGAAGTTGAGCAGGTACAAATGCAAATGTTTTCTTCTGCTCACAATTCAGCCATGTCATGTTTATTCAGTAGAAATTGTCCACATGGAATTTAATGTCCTGTTTCATCAAACTTCCTTGCATGAAAATGTGGTCTAGCACTTCATCTGATAGCAGCACCACTGCTGTTAATCAAGCTGTGCGATTAGTGTTTCGGCATATAGTGATAACCTCTTGTCACTAGGCAGACTTTAAACACCCAAACACATTTTTCTAATGCAAGGTAGCGGTCAGTACAAAATCATTTTTAATTTTGCAAACTGGTCAAGACAGTACAATATTGATGCTGCATGATTGTTAATAAGACAGTTATATTGGTACCTAATAGCTGACATTTTTAAATGCAAAGGCTGCCCCACATAAATTCTGTAAGTTCTTGAAATACCTGAAAATGTTAATATCTGTCTTACTCAGGAAAATGGGCAGCTGATATATTGTCCTAAGCAGATCTCAAGTTCTCCTAGTCACAATTCTAGCCCTGAACTCCCAAAGCTACATGCTTGCTCTTTAATTCTAAACATGTTTACTAGGTAAAAAATAAATCCCTCTTGGTTTAGGTACAAGTACACCACAAATTCTTTCCATATTGGAAATTTAATTTCAGAGGCCCAGCTGCTACTTGGAACCAACTTGCCTATAAATAGGGTAAACAGTAACTGTGTTCATCTTCAAAGCTTAGATGATTTGATTTATAAGCAAGTTGTTTTCTGCTAATGTTCTTACACCCAATAATTGGACACAATTTTTATTAGGATCAGTGACCAGTGCATATTCAAGAATTGTGTGTATCTTATTTTCATCTGTATATGACCAATATTGTTAAACTAGCTTTTAGGGTTGAAAAATGGTACAAATGGGAAATATCTTTCAACGTTAAGGTTTTTTTCCCCCAGTGACCCATAATGGCATAGGTGTGTTGGGCTAATGTGGATACAATCATGTTCCGCAGCAAATAATATTTTTAAAAATCTGTACATTCTATAAATTTTATTTAAAACTGGTAGCACTAATAGGTATACCTGTAGTTGAATTGTAAAATTAAAATATAAAGGCTAATGCTTCCAGATCATGTACATAAATACTTAGAAATACAGTGCAAAGTATTTTTTTTCAAATTAAACTATTATATGTTTATCTTACTGTTCCTCCAATTTACATACAAGATTAAATCCAATTCTTTTTTCCCATGCTTATTTCCTGCAACTTTTATAAGATAGATTGTATGAAGAGAATGAGTTCATATATTGTGCTAAAGCAAAATGTGATTGTGTGTGTGTGTATGTAGCATTGTGCTATACAGTTCTTTATTAATTAAGCTGAACAGAATTAAGCAAATGATGACTTAGTGTGATAGATGAACTTAGTTGGAAAACTTCATCTGAAAGTCACCAGCAAGTTTTCTACTGAATAAGGGTTTGAATCTGAGGCCCAGTTTGATTTCTAATCCTCAGCTGGAGAATTTGTGGCCTTCCAGATGAATGCTAGACTTCAGCTGTCCTAATCAGAGATTGGGGCAATAGAAGTTCTAATCCAACATCAGGAAAAAACCAAGATTTACCACTTCTGTTTCTAATTTTCCACATTATCCGTCATCCTTTATAAATGTAGGTTTGTTAAGATGTTAAGAAAAGTAAGTTTGTAAATAAATATATTTCTCAGTTGATGAAAAGAGAATCATTGAAAATTCTGAATTGCAATTGTTTCCAGAAGCACCATTTTAAAAATATGGAATTATGGCTGAAGAAGAACAGAAAACACAATTGTTTTCTTCTGTCTTATTTTAACTAGAGTCCTTATGCTTCTGTATGATTGTGCTGCCAACTCAACATCTGAAAGGTTATAATAATGAATAGCTAGCATAATTGCTGGTTATTACACAGTTTTTCTTGTAGACAACCAGTTTTAAGACTCTGTCTCATTCCATAGGTACAAAGTGAGAGCGAGAAGTTCACTCCTCTCTCTCCAACTACTATAACATCTGTATCAACCATGGTATCTGCGTTATCACCATTATTTAGTAAAGATCTCCATGTGAAGGCAACAGAAGATCCAATGGTCAGTAATCGTGATTTCAAATACCAGCCTTCAGTGGAAAGCATGGATTTGTCATTAAGAAACACCCCAAAAACAGAATTGTGGCAGCCTTCCTTAGAAATAAGAGAGAACAATCAACAGTTAAGAGGCCACGAAGAAGCAGAGTCCAAGGAATTTGCAAAATGGGAAATGAATGGCGTAAGAAAGTTTTCTTTTGAGGAAGAGCCCTCGCATCCCCTTCCTGATAAAACAGTGGACTACAACAAAGAGATGAAATATGCATTCCCAAGAAAAAGCAGCATGGAATTGCTTAGCCGACAGCCTCTTTGTCAGCGTACTGAAGAAAAGGTCATTGACATCCTGCCAGAGAAACAAGGAGTCAAAGGGCAGTCCTTTGAGGAGTTGATGGAGTGTGAAGAAATAGCCATGGACTCAGCACTGCGAAGAGGTAAATGGTTCACTTCCAGCTCTTCATTTGTCTAAATAAATCTTAATCTCCTCGTTATACGAATTTTAATCAGCATTTAGCTCCCAGTGAAGGTGTGTGCATGTTTGTATATGTGTTAAGTGAAGATGAAATTATGGAAACTGGATTGAAGCAACATGCCTTGTAAACTACAATCTAAAAATACCCTTCCTTTTCTTTATAAATTCTTACATTTAAAATGTGAATTTTAAAAAGCTGCCTGATTAACTGGAACACATTTTTGAGTTAGTTGCCTGATTAATCAATTAAATATTGCTGTTCATTAAATTCAGTATGTGATTATAAACTATTAGTAGTTATTCCCAGGAAATCTATTTGATTATCAAATGTAGCAGTTATATATATTTTTCCTCTTTAATAAAATCAATGATGATATTTTCATACCAATCTTCCATAGCTTTTCCAGGAAAAAATATATCACAATATAGCATGCATTGTTCTCCCCAGAGGGAGAACAAACCAAATTTCTAAAGCTTATGTTCAAAATTTTATTTATTTACTTATCAAATTTATTAGCCACCCATCTTAACATAGGGTAACATAGAGATAAATTATCTTAAAGAGGTCTATTTTTCTTTATTCATCTTTTTTTTCCTAATGCAAATTTGCTGAAATACATTTACAGTTTTCTGATTTAAAAACCAATTGAAAATCCTTTCTGCATAAAGTAATGTCTTTATTCAGTGAATACATTATTTGTAAACTATGGTTTATGCTTTAATTTATTGTGCACATCAAGCCCTTGAGATTTAATAAAAAGTATGGTTAAGTAAATCATGGCTTGACATAATATATGAACCAAATAAGTATTTGAATATTTGTACAAGATATTAAAACACACTTCTTACTATAAGAATAAGGACTAACATGCAGTTGATGCTGATTGATATTTAGTTCTAAATATTTCCCTTTTTAAAAACAATAATTAGACTTTGTTTAAGATATGAAAGCCTTTCACACTGCAATTTTAATCCCTTGCAATAAAACAATCTCAACAATAACATATAGTGTTAGAACAATTTTTAAAAAACAAACTAGACAATATTTCTTTCTGACCAGTTGAGAAAAGTTGAAAAGTCAGCTTTCACCCGTAGTGCTTTTAATTTTACAAGGAACAAAGAAATCTAGTACTCTTTTCACAGTTCCTTTTTTTTTTTTTTTTTTTTTTGATATAGGAGGAAAAGTGCCAATTTGTTCATCAGGGAAAACCTACTAGATATTTTGCGATCACCTTATGAAGAACCCAACTTTTCATAAATTATCTTTGTATAGAGGCATCTTTTATATATTTAAACCAGAGGTGATAGGATTTAGTGACTTTGAATTGGCAGTCTTACAGATCGAAATTCTGTTTAAGTTTATCTTCTATACTATGATGAGAAGAAGTTCTAAGCAAGGAACACAAATAGCCCATGGTCTTTGTATTTATCATCCAAAATCTAACCAAGGCTAAAGTCAACCCAGATAAATTTAGTGCTGCCACCTGCTGAGAAATATTTGTTATTACTAATCCAGACAAATTGGAAGGTTCCTACGAATATTAACAAAAACAATGAAAATAAATAGTGCTTGAATATCATAAAAGGTTATCAGAATCACTATCCCACAGTGAATTGGACATTTCAGATTAAATTTATTGAAAAAGTAGAAGTGTTGTATTACTATTGCTTAGCACTTCCGGCAATTGAAAAAAAGTTATTATTTTAGATTACTATTTTTATTAAATAATAATAAAAGTTATTATTTTAGATTATGCCACATCTATTATTTTTATAAACACAAGGTGGTAAACATATCTAATACTCCTTCTTCCTTATATTTTCCACACAGCAACCCTGATAAGGCGGCCCAGATTTACCCAGCCAGGTTTTATGCCTATGATGGGACTATAATTCTCAGTATCCCGGTTTCTAGGCTAGCATTTGTGGCTTGTGGCATGTGGAAATGTAAAAATCATACGCCACATCCAAAGCGGCTTTTCCAAGGCACATTAAGATTGAAAACCTGTCTGGAAAGTTGAAAAACCACATCCAGACATTATACAGCTCTCTGTAATCCCCGGGAAGTCAATCTTGGAAGATTTTTTAAAATCATATTTTAAAAGCTGGATTAATCTATTAACTGTGAGGACAAACATTAATTTTTAGTTATGAATTACTATAAAGGCATATTAAAAAGTAGAAGTCATTTATCGATTTCAATTGATGCAAAATATGCAGGAGGTTCTTGCAATTGAAGCACTAATGATGAATTTCTCCCCTTCAGAGATTGATGAACCATCTTCAGAGTTTAGAGCAGCTGCAACAGAAAGTGTTTCTCAATCAGCAGCAGTGCTGTCCTGTAGGCAACAGGAAACCTTTGAGCTGTTAGGAAAAGAAGGCTTTAGTGACAGTAAAGCTGAAATAACAGAGGACATCCTTGATGCATCCAGCAAAACTATGTCCATTAAAGAAAGGTAAATAGACTCTTCTGAGTGTATGATTGTCCTCTTATTTATAGGAGGAGTCTAGTAATGATACAGAAGACCATTCCTTGTGGACAATCTTCATCTATATAGTGTGGTACCTTGGTACTTGCCGTTAATTGGTTCCAGGAGGCATGACGAGTACTAAAAACGGCGAGTACCAAACAAACCATGTGACTTAGCACGTGACCCTTAGTAGCAAGTCACGAGGCAGCTGAGACTTAGTAGTTCTAGCTTGCACGTTAAGTACCAAACAAATGACGAGCACTAGGTGACAAAATTTTCACACTGAAATGCGTCAAGTACCAAATTTGATGAGTTTTAAAGTAGACGAGTACCAAGGTACCTCTGCATATTTTAAGCCACCTTTTTGACTGCTAAAAATAGAATGACACTCAATCCTATTGGATAGTTAATTTATTAAAGTAAGGCATCCTTGCAAACATGAGAACGCAGAGTCTGAAATGTGGTTTTCATCAGACGGTTGAATAAGTGGTTAACTTTAAGGAGAGCAAACCAAGCAATTGCTTATTACAGTTATCCTGTTGCCAAAATATAGCTGTGGATGCAGCATTTAGCATTTTGTGAGTCTCCCACTCTTCTTTTTTAAACAAAGAGCTGCTTTTTTATGGCATGAAAGTATGTTGTCGGTATCAAACTGAAAAAAATGTTATGCTTTGCTTGATCCATATGTTGAAGCAGAATGAATTATAGCAATTGAACAAATGAACAGGTTACAATACACTATTCCACATCTGTGCAAAATCTAAGTTATCTTGGCATGGTTTCCTTTTAAGCATACATTATATATAATTCCCAATACAGCTATTGGCCACACATCTTTTTTTCCATGGCAGGATTACAATGTAAAAACTATAGTTTTATCGTTTTTGTAACTTTCAAAATTATGTCAAGATGTCAAGATTTTCATATAGTAAGAAATTTGGCTTGGTATAATTCATGGCCTATATTTTCTTCTTACTTTTAAGCAAGGAAGTAGCATTTGCAGGCTGCATGAAGAACTGGGACTACAGGTAGTTCTCAACAACCATTTGTTTAGTGACTTTTCAAAGTTACAATAACACTATAAAAAGTGACTTGGGATCATTTTCCACACTTACAAACATTGTAGCTTCCCCATCATCACATGATTAAAATTCAGATGCGTGGAAACTTGATATTTATGATGGTTGCAGTGCCCCGCACGGTCATGTGATTACCTTTAGCAACCTTCTGACAAGCAAAGTCAAGGGGGAAGCCAGGTTTACTTAACAACTGGGTTACTAACTTATACATTGAAGTGATTCACCTAACAACTGGGGCAAGAAAGATCATAAAACGGAGCAAAACTCACTTAAAACTGTCTCACGTACCAATAGAAACATTGGGGTCAATTGTGGTCAAAAGACAAGGACTATGTTTAGTCACCCCCAGTGCACAGTTTGCCACGTTCATAAATTTCATGGGGAAATATTACGTTGTCATCTCAGAAATGTCCCTAAAAGGCCAGTGTATTCATGTGTTCAATAATATCTTCTATGGAAGAAAGTTGTGGTCATAATTTCTGTTGGAGGGATTGGAAAAACAATGACCTGGTGAGGTGATATTAATTTTCAGTCTATTGCAGTTTGGCTTCTTATAAGTACATTATATCCCTCAAAGAGAGGAAAACCAACTTCTCTTGGACAAAAAGTGGGTATTTATCCTAACTTATATATTTGAACACGATAGAATGCTTAATTCCACGTAATGTAACACTCAGTTTTGGAATGGAAAAGTAAGGATAAATTATATTCCAATCGTGGCACGCACCCATATTTATACCAAAACACAAGTGCACATGTAGGTTTAGTTGCCATATAATAGAGGTGTCAGATTAAATTCAAGTGATTTGCTAATTGGGTGCTGGAATAGATAGTACAGCTATGCATATTTTTGTCTCCATTCTAAAGTATCTTTTTTATCTTCTTGTTTATTTATAAATTAATCATTAGTCTTGCATCATCTACAATCGGAATATGTGATTTTCTTAAGGGTCAAAGCCAGTTTGCTTATAATCATATTGTACTTCTTATAATGGCAGATAATCATTTATATTGTTTATTTGTCTTTTAACATTCCTTTTTGTATAATGACAATTCACTTAAGGTTTCCTTTTTTGTAAGGATAAAATGGAAAGTACAGATAAGGAAAGTGAAATGAAAGAAGAGTAATAATCCATTTGTAACAGAAAAATATGCTTGAATTTATTCATCTGTCCTGAGGCTTAGTTTGATGAGGGAAGATGAGTAAGGAGCTTTAAAAAAAAAAGAAGTAGTAGGCTTTCATTTGAAAAAAGACGAAAAAAACTCAAGTGGAAACTAATCTGAGACAGTGTCCTCTGTTGTGGTTCTCCATTGTCAATCTTCCTTTAATAAACATTGCATTTCTAGGCAATCACCTTAGGTTGTATGAGACACAGCACCAGTACCCCCACCTGTACACAGAATTCAGATTTTGGAATGGGATGTGATCAAGATTGAGATGCCAGTTCTAAATGAGGAGTGGACATCTTCATTTAGAATAGAACATCTTATGTTTGGCGTCTGATGCTCCCATTTCACCACCAAGCACAATTGGTTCATGTGGCACATGCTAAAAGAGAATAAGAAAAACTGCCAAACTTTAAAAACTAGGACTTAATAACAAGATGGTAACTATTCTTCAAAAGGCTTATTTTCAGACCTCACTATTTGGTAGTGCTTGTCTGAATTTGCTTCAAGTTGTCATTGTGTCCTTTTTGAACTGCATGCAAGTAGTGTCTGATCAGGGCAGTAGATCTCAACACTGTATTTATTAATACCCACCACAAAAGCAGTGTTCTTGTCTTTTCTTTCTAAGTTTTAATTGTCAGTCTGAGTTTCATTGGGTCCTGCCCAAAATAATTCTAAGATGAAGAAGAATGCCATTTCAGTATTAAAATAATGAACACAACACTTCATAGATTTTTCGAAAGAAGAATTTAAGATCATTTGTTACTGGATTTTTGTTTGTATGTGATGTTTAAATGATCCAGAATTCATTGTATCAATGTCAGGTTACTTTTAGTTAAGGTTTGTATCATGGGTTAGTTCCTAAATCTTTTTTCAGTACGTATACACTAAAATATAAAGTATGGTTATGTCAAAGAGTAAAATTTCAGAAAGTCAGAATTTGCTTTGTCTCCATTATTGAATGGAATTCTTAGTGGAATACAGTTACTTCACACAATTTGCATTTATAGATCCAACTAAGTCCGTATATTTTTCTTTTCTTCAGGCTGGCACTTCTAAAGAAGTGTGGTGAAGAAGACTGGAAAACCAGATTGAATAAAAAAACGGAGCATGGACGAGCATTAGGTGCTGAACGAAATCCTCAACTACAAGAGAAGGAGCAACTATTTACAAAGAAGGTACAGTTCCCTATATTAAAACATAACATTCCTCTTTAAAATTTCTTTTTTTACTTTTAAGTTTCCATAGTAGGAAAGAAGTTCTGAAAAGACAAAAAGTTCCATATATTACAGAATTATTAATCACTCATAATATTTAGGTTGGCCACATCATAAATCTAAGTTTTTTATGGTTTCCATTGTGTAACCTCATTGATTTGCCAAAAACAGTAATTTTTATACAATATTTTATGTGACAGTCTGTCGGAAACCATCTATATAAACATATGCTACAATAAATCATGTATTTTTACAATAAATCCTACACTTTTAAAGCTCAGTGTTTTTATAATTCTTGAAGTATTGCTAAAGCATTATTTCTCTGGTTTTATAAGAAGGTCAGATATAATCTAGAACTGTTCATATATTAGGATTTCATCTCTCCCCAATATTCAAAATATCTGAAAATATATTTTGTATCACATCCTGAATTTGGTTTTATGTAGGTTCTCAGCAATTCCCAACATAGTATATTCCACTGGTGTGCCCACCCTCAATCTTGCATGTGTGTTCCTGTCACTCATCCACTGCCAACATCTTGTCATGGCATAGCCACTAACCTACCTACCTATTTGTGTTCTCCTTGCATTCACTTCTCAACTGGTTCTGCAACTAACATAACTAACAGTTTGGGATATCTGACTGGCTTTGCCAGTTGGCTTTTTTTTTTTTTTTTTTTTTTTGTCCTCCCTCCCACCCCCATATTTCTACATCCTTCAGACTACCCTGTTTTATTCTGTAATTCAAAACTTGTATTTTGGCACCAACCTTCTGAAATCCCTGCACTGTAGTTTATGGACAGAATGTTTTGGACATTCTGATGAATAGTAGTTAAGTGAGTAATTCAGTATATCCTACCTGGTTGTGCTGTGTATCTGAGAAAGAAATTTTGAGGGCACAGGAGACACTGGGACACATGTCAACATATGAGTTATAGATGATAGATCGATGGATGGATATAGATATAGATGTAGATATAGATATATATTGGTTCATTGTGGGAAGACCATGTAATGGTAGCTAAAAATCAGGATTTGCTAGTATGCTGATTAATACAAATAGGACATTTAACATGATTTCTTAGAAAGTTATGCTTAAATCTTTCTCTTTTAACTGTGGGATGAATGGTTAAAGCAGCTCAATGTAAAATTTTTGTGCCATTCAGAAGATTCTCTCAGCCTGCTTGTTTCCTCAAAGCTGGCATGTGTAAGGGTTGAGCGAACTGTTTTTCTGTCTCTGTACCAGTCAAGGCAAAACATGGGTGGGGGCAGTGTTGAAACTTGCAAGTGGATTGTTGTTCTTTTGGCATAGCTCTTGCCTCATCGGCTTTCTCAACTCTTGGGTGTAAGCAAGTCATTAGTCGTCAGCCGTTGTTGCAACCCAGTCATGTAAGGAAATGAAAACAATATCTTGGGATCAATTGAAAAGAGCAAGTGGAAACAAAATGGTGGAGGGATTAAGTAGAGGCTGAGGAGATTCATTGTAGATAGTTCTTCAGTTATGATGGCAATTGGGACAGAAATTTATTTTGCTAAGTAGTGCAGTCATGAATTGTTGAATGGCGGTGGGCTGCAAGAAGCCCTGAGATGCAGTGCAGCACAAAGTCACAACCAGTGCAGGAAACCCCAACAGATAAGCCTTAATCCCCCTGCACTTCGAGGTCTTGCCACCCTGCAGTCCGCCATCCCAACTGACTTCCGTTGTCTTCTTGGTCCAACTAGTCCTGACAAGTGGGAGACTTAGCAGTTCAAAAGTCAGGTGCTGGCCATGTGAGACCTTCTTCCCCAGATCTTGCAAGGAAGACACCATGCACAAATTGTGGAAAAAAGTTTTGCCAGCAGCTTCCTGGTGAAGGGTCAGACCAGGCATGCTTTGACAGCTGCTCCATGGTGACAGCCAGGGGTGGGATGCTACAGGTTCTGCCCGGTTCTATAGAGCCAGTAGCTCTGAAGAGCAGCAGACACCAAACCGGTTCTGTGTTTGCTGCTGTTTGGCCCACCTGCCCACCCGGGCTCTTACCTGTCCTTTATTTCCTGCTTTTTCAACCTCAGCTGCTTGCTCGGCACAGCTGGAGTTGAAAAAGCAGGGGAAAAGAGGCTTTTCGAACGCTGTGCACCTGCGCACAGCGCTTTTCAGCTGTCCGGGCAGCACAGCCTAAAGTTATTTTACACATGCGCTCACAAAACATAATAAATGAACAGGTAGTAACACCGGTTGAATCCCACCCCTGGTGACAGCAATGGTCACCTAGCTTCAGCACAGGTGCTTTCTTTCCTTTCTGTTGCTGCCACATCAAGGCATCTCATTGCAAATGTATTATTTCAGCCCCATGGCTTTCCCTTAGAATGAGATGGTGTTTTAATGGTCTAGAAGCAGAGGTGGTATTCAGCAGGTTCTGACCAGTTCTTGAGAACCGATAGTGGAAATTTTGAGTAGTTTGGAATACCACTTCTGACTGGCCCCGCCCCCATCTATTCTCTGCCTGCCGAGTCCCGGCTGATCGGCTGGCTCTTCTTTTGTTGTCCTGCACAGGAGAACAGAGCTGGAAAGCAGGTTAGTGGGGTGGGGAGGGAATGGGGATTTTACAGTATGCTTCCCCCAGGAGTGGGGAGGGAATGGAGATTTTGCAGTATCCTTCCCTTGCCATGCCCACCAAACAATGCCATGCCTACCAAGCCACACCCACAGAACCGGTAGTAAAAAAAGTTTGAATCCCACCACTGTCTAGAAGCCCTCTTTATTTAAAAATGTAGAAAAAAAATGCACATAATTTCTTCATAGATGTGTATTGTGCAAACAGCATTCTGCATAACTTTCCTGCTCAGAAGAATTCAACAGTGGATTTTTAAAAGCTTCACCAATCAGCTTCTGTGCAATTAAACAAGTACAGAAGAGTTTTTTAAAAAAGGGATTGAACTGAGGTGGTTGCTAGCTTTTTAAATTATTTTTTGGTGGAATTTTGATGAGATTGTTCTTATGAGATAATTTATTAGAGTTCAACTGGCAAGACTGAATTATGTCTTTTGCATTCTTATTGGCTGGCTTCTGGTGGGAAACACCTATTTGCTCATGGAGATTAGAGGATTTTCATTAGATTACTGGACCAATATGAGTCAACATAATCTCATGGCTAGCTTCAAAATCGTGTGCACTGGAATGGAATTGGGATGACATAGAAGTGCCCATAAATGAAAAGTACCGCTGACGATATATTTGAAGAAGAAACGATCTTACAGTCACAAAAATATGGTTTTATTTTAACTGTTTTTCCCATTCTATCCCCCCTTTCCCTTACCCTTCCCTCTCCTCTCTCATTTGCCCTTCTCTCTTTCCCTCTCAGCCTCTGCCAAGGCCTGTTTGCTTTCTCTTCTGTATATAATTTGTAGATGTGTTGTTTTTAATGGTAAAATTAATAAAGTTTTTCTTAAAAAAAAAAAAAAAGAAGTGCCCATAAACATCAGCCAGAATTTTGAAACAAAAACATATTTACTTAAAATTCGCATGAATTGATTTACTTGAATAGATGTAAATTTAGATTTCCAAATTTGAGATTGCTTAGGCTCTAAAAAGCAAAACTTTAAATTTGCTCTGAAACTGCAGCTACTGCAGTTCTTCAGTAGAGATGTATTTCGTGAGTAGCCCGGTATTTCATTGAGTAAACTGATTTCTGCATGTTACATAGTTTAAATCTCAGTTTACAACAAGTTTATTCCTGTCTTGGAATAAACAGCTTTATTTCTGTTAACACCGAAGCTGGCAACAGGCAGTCCAGGCCCTAAAACAGGGGTTTGTAATCTTAAATAGTCAAAGAGCCATTTGGACCTGTTTCCCACAGAAAACAAAAAACTGGGAGCCACAAAACCTGGGCGGGCACCTCTATGTCATCAACTCGACGTCACTCACTCCCACCCAAATCACATGATTCTTCTCCCCGCCCCTCAGGTTTTGTGGCTTCTGGTATTTTCTTTTCTCTGGGAAACAGGTATCTCTCTCTGTCTCTCTTTGTCTCTCTCTCTCTCATCTGTTTCCTCTCTCTCTCATTTCTCTGTCCCTCTCATCTCTCTTTCTCCCTCTCTCTCTGTCTTTCTCCCTCTCTGTATCTCTCTTTCTCTCTCGCTCTTTCTCCCCTTCTCTCATCTCTCTCTTCCCCTCTCTCTCATCTCTCTTCCTACCTCTCTCTCATGTCTTTCTCCCTCTCTTATCTCTCTTTCTCCTCTCTATCTTTCTCCCTCTCCTTTTCCTTCTCTCTTTCTTTCTCCCTCTCTATCATGTGTGTGTGTGTGCTTGTGTGTTCTGTCTTGAACCATTTCCAAAACAGGCAAGGATTTTTTATGATGCTCTGCATTGTAATGGACTGCAAGAGGAGGAGGGAACGCTGTCTCCCCATTGTGAGCACACTAAATTTAAGTGTGCTAAGCAAAGCGCTGAAGAGCAGGCCATAGAGGCAGCATGAGCCGCAGCCAGGCCGAGCCATTGTCTTGGGGCAGAGAGCAAGTCGTGTCTTCCTGAGTGACCAAAGTGCGTGCAGCACCAACAAGGGCCGGAAGAAGAAGCAACTAGACAGACGCTTCACTCCCGCTCTGGAATATGGAGCGAGTCTCCATCCACCGGTCTCGCCCTTACCTTCTCAGGCTGGGCAAGGAGTGACTGGGAGGGGAGGGCGAGGGGTCAAGCCAGCCAGTGATGGGATCATCTGACAGGGAGCTGCAGCAGAGAGCATAAAGAGCCGCGGGTTGCCGACACTGCCCTAGAGTTTATTTGGTCCTGTGATGACCTTAGGAACTCCTCAGTTATGTGTCTATTCTTTCTGAGAGTGTAAACCCATTTAGAACAAGCACATTCTACTTACAAGATCTCTATTCTGTCAGAATTCAATCTCAGTTACGTTACCTTGTCCACTACGTCAGTACATCCAAAACCTAATTCAGAACATCCAACTTCTCCTGATTCATAAGGAAAAGAAGAGATATGAATGCTGTTAGTTTACTGACAACATCTAACCTAAGTAATGCAGATAAGTGGTGGCATGTGACATCTTACACTGTTGCTTGGTGGTAGAGAGTTAGAGTCACCTAATTCTATTTCCTGAGACCATGCCTGCAAACTGGTGGGAATACTATGAAAATTGCTGAATGAGCAAGCAACATCAATAAAGACCCATATCTCTACTTTTATGTTGGAGGTCATATATCAGGACAACAGTGGTTGATTCAATTCTAGAGCTAGCAATGAACCTAATCTGAAAAGAGCAGTGTTTCTTGATATGCTAGACTACATGTATTAAGTTCTAAATATTTGTGAGATTTTTTTTCTGAAAAAAAATCTCTAAAATTATTCCAACTGGAATGTCAATTCATTGCAATTTTACAATCACTGGTCATTAGCTTTACATTCCAGATGAAAGTTTTTGGGCCAAAATTATTTTGTGGGAATGGGTTATAAAAACTTTTCTGAACTCCAGTTTTACCGTATAGTGTTTTGGTTTTTTTTATATTTTGGAAATAACAGTACTATTTCATGAAATAATATGGCTTTAAAAAAAATCTTAAATTCCAGGTCAGTACTCTAACAATCGTACTGAGAATTGTTTGACAAATAGTTAGTGATAACTTCTTTATCTTATTCAACTCAGGGTTGCTGTTAATCAGTAGTTGGTGCATGCTATTATGTAGAATTGGAGCAGTAAATACTTTTGCTTTGTATGTTTTGCATGTATCTTGATACAAAAAAATACAACAACCTGAAGCACCACTAAATATAAATATCATTAGAATAAAACTGGAATGGTTTTAAGCAATAAAAGGGTGCCACCGAATGCTTGAAAAAAATTCAGACAGTAAACTTTTAGTTAAGATTGTAAATTATGTAGAAATTAAAGACAGTCCTAAAAATTTTCGGCATGCTAACACTTTGAAAGAATGTAAGAAACATCACACTCTCACTTGTTTTTAGAGTATTTATATGATGGTATGTGCGAATGGCTTTGAGAGACCAAAGAAAGAGCCACAGCCAGCAGAATGATCAAATAAGAGGCAGTTGAGTTCATAGAAGAAATGGGGGGATTGCACATATCTCAGAAGAGATCCCCACCCAGGGGTGGGATTCTACCAGTTCACACCTATTCACTAGAACTGGTTGTTAACATTCTAAGCAGTTCGGAGAACCGGTTGTTAGAAGAAATTACTGGCCTAATCCTGTAAGGAAGGCAGGAAGGAAACATTCTGGTGTTGCTTACAGAAACTGCCTCTCGGTTAACCCTTATTACATTCTTGGCAGGACTAGACTTCCTGTCTCAGGAACTTCTCTGGAGTTTTTTTCCCCTCCTTTGCTGGTACTTTGCTTGTGTGGAGGGACCATTCAAAGTTACAATGGCACTGAAAAAAGTGAGTTATGACCATTTTTCACACTTACAACTGTTGCAGCATCCCCACAGTCATGAGAGGCCAGACGAGGAGATGCGTGCCTCGATGTGAGTGATATTGAGTTGGCCGCGCCCAGCCAATAACATGACCACCAAGCCACACCCACCAACTAAGCCACGCCCACAGAATCGGTTGTTAAAAAATTTGAATCCCACTCCTGCCCCCACCCTAGTTTCTTGGGTTATAAGGGTGAAGGGGAAAGATGTATTTTCAGACTTGCAAGATTCTGTTAATGTAACATTACAATAAAGTAGAATTAGTACATATGGGTATGCTTCCTGTCTGGGCTATTTCACAATAAAATATTATTTCAGAATGAGGAATTTCAAAAGTTGATAGCTGTAAAGTCTAAACACTGACTATTTTAAATACAAATGTTTTAAATTAAAGATTAAGTCGTATGATATACGTTAGTATGGAAATCATTGAGATTTATGGAAATCTCATTCAGAAATGATAAAATATTTTAAATAAATACCTGCACAGTTTTGATAGCATATTACATATGCTAATCTCCATGGTATCAAAAGTAGTTGGTAATAGATATATCTGGATTAATATATTAATTAATATATATTAATATATGGATTAATTGTGACCATCTGCTACAATTGTTGACATGCGTGGCTTTTTACTGCATTAGAGTAAACCAGAGGTCTCCAAACTTGGCAACTTTAAGACTTGGACTTCGACTCTCAGAATTCTCCAGCCAGTATGGCTGGCTGGAGAATTCTGAGAGTTGAAGTCCACAAGTCTTAAAGTTGCTAAGTTTGGGGACCCTTGGAGTAGACTAATTGTTAATTCATGTGTTGTGATTGGTTTAATATTTTTAAAACATCCAGATACAAATAAAATTTTATCTGAAGAAGTCCTTTATTCACATTCTCTTTATATTTTAATTTTTCCTCCTCCTTCCATAGTTTCATAATCATACAAGACCTCTTCCATTCTCAAAACCTCTCTATTAGATTAATTTTTCCAATAATGAAATAGCCACTCCTTATTACATTTACATTTCAAGCACCAGATTATTCACTGAGCTTCGGGTCATTATGTCAGAAGATTAACCAAACCAAAGGATTTTAATTACACTTTATTCCAGCAAAGGCCTCTTGCAAAAGATTAATCTTTCAAAACTTAACCAAAAACTAAAAATGATCTTGACAAAATTTAACAGGAGAAGTAATGATTAAAAAATGTTGTGTGAAGTATGAATATCTTTCTAAAAGAAAGAAGTGGTTGGTAATTTCTTCGACAGACTCAGTTGGCAGTCTGTTGACATTGGTAGCTTTTCTTCTTTTTGTTTTTTGCACTTCTTAATTAAACGAGGAACCATACTATCCAGGACACAAGGTAGTTCTTTCCAACTTTTCTATTCTCTCATTCTCTGCAATGTTTCCTGTCTGTTTCAACCTGTAGGAAGAAGCAGGAGGTTCAGATGATAAAGCCATATCTAAGCTTCTTTGGGTAAGCCTGACATGAATGCAAGGGCAGCTATTCTGGGCACGCAGGCTTATTGTTTTCTGGTTATAGTCAGCTTCATGTTCAAGCTCTATGTGGTAGAGTTGCATCACAATCATGGGCACTTCTTGGTTTCTAGCAAGAGCCAAATACATTACTAGCCAAAGCGTTGCTGGTGTGATTAAAAGTCATTCTTCTTGCTTGCCTTCTTCAAATCTCTCTATCATCGCTAATCCTTCATCTCTAATCCTTTCTATGGCTGCATGTGAATGGCTATAATATGTGTAACATTCTTGCATGGATTTTCTTGTTTGGTTATTACAGCATATCGGCTAGGTAGACAAATCCTGAAAGTGTAAGAACTTTCATCAATTATTTGATGTAAACTCATTTCTACTTCTCTTCTCTAACTGCCTAACATATCTTTTCCATGTCTTCCTAATTCTGTCCTATGCTTCTGCTCCCTCTTCATAGGAACCTGTCTATGCTTCTACTTATTCTCCTGCTATACTTGCTGCCCATAAACTTCATTCCTTCATACCTATTAATCAGGTGAGCAAATCTTGCATACTCTAGGATAGGTCTTGCAATGATTTATTGAGCACTTATTCAACAATGTTTTCTCCACCTCCACATATATCAATCTGTCTGGAAGTTCTTTTCTGTCTGGAAGTTCTTAGAATTGTATTCCAATATATCAATAGTTGGAGAAGGTTACATAGAATAAGTTTCAATTCTTCTATTAATTCTCTTTCTTCAATGTACTTCAGGTTCTAGCTCACTTCCTAGACATCAGTGATAGAAACATAACAGATTGTTTACATTGTTTTCCAATATACGTTGGTTGTGTACGTGGAGGGATGTCTTTGAATCAGCCATAACACTTTACTTGACTAGATTTTCAGAAGTGGCTGTATTATTGCCTTCTTCCTAGGACTGAAAGTGATTGGCCCAATATCATCCAGCTGATGTGCCTCAATAGGAACTAGAAGTCACAGTCTCCCAGTTTCTAGCCTGGTACTTTAATCATTATATCAAACTGGCTCCATATTCGGTAAAGTCAATAGTTAAAAAATACATGAGTTTGCTTTCAGATTAGGAATTCGAAATAAATTTTGAAATGCAATATGATAGAAACCTATATAAACCTATACACACACACACACACACACACACACACACACACATCTTATCTCTTTAATCCTAGGTTAAGTAAGGCAGCAATAGTGGAAGTTATTATTTATTTGCTTAATATATTTCACTGTTTTCGTAGTCAAAAGTACTCCGAGTGAGGTGCATATCATCAGTTACAAATAATGCACACAAGCTGGTAAAATTTAGGGTGGAAGAAAACAAGAATTCTTAGAACTCATTAATAATCTTACAGTATAATAATGAAACTAATTTACTGAAGGAAAAAAGGAGCCCAGGAGACTTTATCTTTCAAAAGAACCAGTGGAATTACTTTAATTTCCCTTCAGAGGTTTGCCTAATCACATTCTCCACAATAAATATCTTCTGCATCATTGTATTATTATTCTGGATATTTCTTATCTCTTTTTCTCTAAAACAAATTCAAGTCTTCCTATACCTAGGAATATTTAGTATAAGAATCCAGATGCTTGAACCAGGTTTCTATGTTGGTAGCTAGGTTTCTATTTTCATTATCTTTGAAAATTACATTTATCAGTGGGAGGGCACCCGTTGTGATAGAAGGTTTTAGATCACAAACACAAACCATTGCTGTTCCAACTGAGTCAGAGCAACGTGAAGAGTGATGGCTATAGCATCCTCTGTAAGTCTATTTCTTCTGTATGCAAATCAGTGTTTATCAAATGTAGGCGGAAGACCAGAAATGATGTGCCGGCAGACCAATTTCTCAAAGCACTTCATGATGATAGGAGTGAGTGCCACGGGTACAATAAGTGAAATATAGGTTCATTCATTTACCAATGAAAGGTTCATTCATATACCAGTGCCATATACACATAAATTTGGGAAGGGGCAGGGGAAATCTCCAGTTTATATTTTTAAGAAAATATTTCTTGTGACATCACTGCTATAAGAAAGATAATACAATTGTCACAGTATAGGTAAATGCTGCTGAAGGATTGTTTGTTAAAATGGAACTATTTACCACTTAAATGGACTGCTTTTATCTGAGAAAAAACATAATTTGCATGCTCCCAGGCTGTCAACTCTTATTTTTTCTATATATAGATACACTATACATACCGGTAGTAATCAACTAAATACTAAACATACAAAGGTTATTAATATTTAAATTAAATAAATAACCAAGTTGTTTATTGTCGCACACTGTGCTTGGGAACGAGGTGTGATTTAACTTTGAGAAAATGAGCAGTTTTGTGGTATCACATAGGACAGAATATGTAGGACATTACAAATTCAATATCTGGCATTTCCAGTTAGATTAAATGGCAGGTGAGGTTAGATTAAATACCCATGACTGAAACCTTGGAGAAGATAATAATATATGATGATCAAGGCTGTGATACAATTTACAACAGTTTTATAGATGCATTCATTATATCCTGAAGCCCCCAAAAAACCTTTTTGCTCTATTCAATTGTATTATAACAGAAAATAAGTACAAGGTACTTTGAAATCTTTAAAGTTCAAAATTTCAATATAGCCATTTGAGACCCTAATCTAATCATGTAATCCTATAAAAAGATATATAAAATATTGATAACCACATTTATTCTTTGAAAAAACAGAGGAATGTGGATACCGCTGAAAATCAAATGACAATTGAAGAAAGAAAGCAATTAATAAGTGTTCGAGAAGAAGCTTGGAAAGCTAAAGGCAAAGGGGCATCAAATGATTCTACCCAGTTTACAGTGGCTGGCAGAATGGTAAAAAAAGGTCAGCAAATGTATTTAATTTTATTTATTTGTTCAATTTCTATAGCTGCCTTTCTCATCCAAGTGATTCTGGGAAGCTTACAATTCTAAAACAGTTAAAACAACTAAAAACAATGAATCAGTAAATGTATCCTTTGTATCTGGATTTTTAATAACTTAGAAACCTGTAGCAACCAAAAAAAGATTTTGCCAAGGATTTATGTTGCTTTCATTTCCAGAAGTTATTTCTTATTTTGATCTGCATATTATTTAAGGAGTCATTTCAGTGGTATTTAAAACTCAATTGGACAGAACACCACCGCGAGCAGAAACAGCATACTATTTCTGAAGTCTGCAATGTTTTCATATCTTGATGTACATAATAGGTTGTAATTGAAATAAGAAACAAAATACACAATAATTGAGTGAGCAAGCTGATCACATCTCATGAAACCACTTAAACTGAATATACTATTTTTAGGATGCCTTTATATTTTCTTCTGGCAGCTTAACTGATGGGATTTTCTACTAGAAATAAAGAAATTTCCTTGGCATCTGTGTGGCTAACGTTTAAGAGCACAGCTGTCTGTGAAAGCCCAATTAAAAAAAATAGAAACACACGGCCAGCATTTTATCTAGTTCACAGCATCCTCTGTTCCTCCAGATGTTGCTTAGTTAGAACATTAATATTCCTTGCTAGCAATCATTTGTATACAAGACTGCCTGGAATTATAGTTTAACAACATCTTGGAGGGCTAGAAACATCTCATTCTTGGTATACCTTGTTACAGCAATGACTATTTGTCCCAGATATATTAAGGTGAAAATTTCACTTGAATAGTCTAACTTTCTATTCTGTCCAATAGCTACATTTGCACAGAAGGAGTTAACAATCTGCAAATGGTAGAATAGAAGTGAACCTCCAGACACAAATGCCCTTGGATTTACATCTGAAGCACTCTAGAGAATTTAGAATGAAATTTTAAAGAAGTCCTTAAAAGTTCTTCAAGGATTCCTCATTGAGAAAAAAGAAAGTTATTCTATCAGACATCAATCACTATTAGATCTTCTAAATTATAATGTGGGTAAATGTTGATAATGCTAGACCATGGAAATGGCAAATTGTAAAATCTAACAAGAACAGGTAGCTCATCAATGAGCTACCTGTTCTTCCATTAGCATATTTCAGTGATTTCTTGCAATATGATGCGCTATAAGCACTGCAGAAATATTGGATACAATTGGCAAGACTGTCTTGAAAACATAACATATGCTGTACCCTAAATATATTTCTGGAGATTTGCCACAATTGCTCCAGCACAATTATCTTTTTAATTATCATATTAAAGCAAGTAACAGGGTTGTTTGTATCTTCAAAAATTCTCTGTTTGACCCTTGAAAAGCTATTAATATTGCTTATTGTCCATGGAACATTTTATTTATTTAGCTGATTTAAGCATTTGGTTTTTGCATTATTTGTGCAGTAATAGAGTCTCTTAATGTCCTTCAAGGAATATATTTATGCCAGGCTTTTTTGATTCCCTGAAAAGTTCCAGGCATGCCTGAAAACTAGATTGTGCAGAAAATTGGAAACATCCATTCTTTGATATGAAATTAAGCATTTTATTATTCCACAGGCTTAGCATCCCCAAGTGCTATCAATCCACCAACATCCTCTTTCTGCAACAGACTAAAATCAACCTCACTTATTTCAAAACCCTTGGAAGGTAAGTCATTAAAACATGTAAGAACAGGTTAAATCCTTCTTTTTTAAAAAGTTGGTCATTTTTATTCTTATTTTCTTTAGAAATTGAAGCGAGACCAGATATGCAGTTAGAATCAGACATGAAGTTGGATAAACTAGAAACTTTCTTAGGAAAACTCAACAACAAAGGTCTGTAAAATTTTGAGAAGGCAGCCTGGGTTTTGATTTACTGTTCTGTGTAAATTTACTCATTATTCCAATAATGGTCTGTGGACTATATTAAAAATTGTAAGTAAGGACTCATTAGCAAAAGTTTAGTTTGTTAAGGAGATGAATAGCACCTTGTAGCATGTAACATATACATTTAGTTTATGCTTGGTAATTGTTCAATGTTCGAAATATTTCATGATCTAAATCAGTGTTTTTCACACTTGGCAACTAAGACATATTGATTTCTACTCCCAGAATTCTCCAGCAAATATTGAAGCCTACATACTTTCCAAGTTTGAAAAGCAATGCTTCAAATGGTTTATACATTTTTAGCACAAAATATTGATAGTATAAGTATTCTTCAGATATTTTTAAAAAATGCTAAACAGTATGTCATTCTGCTCACCATAACTAAATTGGAAAATTTTATAAAAGACTTTAAAAAGAACCCTGACAAATAATGATGTTCCAGAGAACACAAAATATATTTCTCGTGATAGTTAGGGAACAAACATGGCTGAAACAGATTGTTTTAAAATGTAATGTTTGAATTTTTGTTTGCCATACACCATGGTTGCCTGCTTAGTTACTTCATACTATATGGGCAGGATGAGTAATTAAAATAGATTTTTGCTACCATGTGTTGGCCTTCTTCTTTTAGACTTGGCTATTAAAGTTTTGAATAGATAAAGGAGAGAGGGAGTGCTTCTCACATTTACTTAAAACAATTGATTTCTGTTAAACTATTATCTTAAGAGTTCAAGCAAGAGAATATACATTTTTGACCATCTTGTTGCTAGCCCTTTCCAACCTGGTGTTTTCAAATGTACCATTTCCATAACCCCTCATCATTTATCATTAAGGCTGTGACTGCTAGCAATTGTCATCATCTCTATATTCACTAGAGAAAGTTCCGTTTATTACTGCAACCAATTTTTTTTAAAAAATCTTCTAGGTTGCTTATAAACCTTTGTCTAGCATAATTGACAATAGGAAATTCATGCTCGGATAATTAGTATATCTTTCAGATTAAAATATAAGACTACCTAGCTAAACTGCTAGTTCTCCAGTATTGCCCAAAAGATACTTGTACACAGGACATGAAAGAAATTGCATTGTCCATTCTTTCCAGTTAAAAGTTTCATATCATATAAAAAGCACTGACTGCTGACACATTTTTGTACACTTTCTAAATTTGTCGATTTCTTCTTTACAACTATTTGAGATATTAAAACCATCAGGGTTCTTTGTTGTCAATCAGGGAAGGGATGTGGTATGCTATTATAGTATGTTCAGAGTATTGCAGGATAAATTCAGCACCAGAAACGTAAACATAGATGACTGAGGCTTCATTCAACTTCTTTAAAAACATATAAAGTAACTTTTACAATTCCAGTTGTAGATTTCTCCAACATGGAGCAAACTCAAGCAGAAGCAGACATCTTACAGGTTCAGAGCAGAACAGCAACTCAGGGTCTCAGAAACAGACATCAGTTTCACTTCAGTTCAGCAGGCAAGCAAGACACACAGCAGAGGAGAGAAAGCGGTTTCATTTTCAATAGACAGTCTCAGAGCTCAACACAGCCTCAGAGTTGCAGAGCTTAATATAGAGCCATGCCTAGGCTACTTCTAGTTTCAGTTTCCAAACAGTCCTCATTGACTGATTTAGTTGCTATGCCTATTCATTGGCTGACCTTGTTACCAATGCTCTATTCCAGTTCATGAATATACTTTGACATACTAGTACCAAATCGACAGAACAGCACTAAAATGAATATTTTGTGATAGGTATTTTAAAATCAAAGACTGTTATAATATACAGTATTACTCTAAATGTGATCTGTAGTTGCTGGAATGCAGGAGACAGTCTTGACAGTCACAGGAAAGTCTGTGAAAGAAGTCATGAAATTGGATGACGAAGAAACATTTTCCAAATTTTATCGATGCATGAATTTTCCAGCTCCCTCTTTGCCTGTGGAGTTGGATGAAGACTTTGACGCCATATTTAATCCCAATGCACCAAAGTGAGTAGTTTCCCTTTTGTTCCTTTAAAATTTTATGGAAGTGAGGTGAGGACCAAGAATCAGTCATTTCTGAGATACCATGCTGCAAATTTGCATTATCACTTTTATTAACTTCTTTTCTGCACATTTATGGTTGGAATATTTCCAGTTTTTCTTCTTCTGTCTTCCTACATCTTAGTCCTCATCTGAGCACAGGAGGTGACAGAAGAATCAAATTCTCACAAAGGAAATGCTGAAGAAAGAATGTTGGAAAATAAAACATAGTTTGAAGAAAATGAGATAGAGACAAATAGTGGTTGTAACATTTTACTAAATTAGTATTTAGATAATTTTAAGCTCAAGTATAACACTTCCTGTATTCTGTATTTCTATTGAGGTTGTCATATCAAATCACAGGAATATTGAACAAATCAAAAAGTTGAAAAGCAGATGCAAGAAATAGGTTGAGTCAAGGGCATCTACCACTCCTGCCATAAGCATTTACATGTTCCTTTTCCACTGTAGAATCTATGTCACCACTCACCCTTCCACTATTCAGGTCAACCTTAAAGCATTATTGTGAGGGTCTCAATCACTTTAGGATATTGCTCTGTAGCCCCTTATGATTTGTTGTTTAGGCACAATAAAGCAATTGCTTTAGGCACAAGAGAGTATTTGGGCCCAGTTTATGCTCTTCCTAGTTTTATCTGACAAGCTTTGATGGTTGTCTTTGCTTTTCTGGATGTTGGTTAAGTCCAGGAGTCTTCAAGCTTGGCAAGTTTAAGACTTGTGGACTTCAACTCCCAGAATTCCCGAATTAACATGAATGGAGGAGGAATTCTGGGAGTTGAAGTCCACAAGTCTTAAAGCTGTCAAGTTTGAAGACCCCTGGTAAGACATTCAGATGTGGCAGTTAATTTCATTCTGTGCCTTTAAGAAAAGCTGATGAAATAGTAAGTTAAGTGGGAAGATCTTTTGCTTTTCAGGTTAATTTCTTCAGTAGCAGAACACAAACGGGCTGTGAGGCCTACACGCAAAGTCCAGGCTTCTAAGAACCCTTTAAAAATGTTAGCAGCAAGAGAGGACATTCTTCATGAATACACGGAGCAGAGATTAAATGTGGCCTTCATGGAGTCAAAGCGAATGAAAGTTGAAAAAAGTAAGTTTAAGATTCCAAGTAGCTTTCTGTGTATTTTTCTCTGTTTCCCCTAAAGCTTATGTCATAATGCTTCTCAATCATAATGGTGAACCGTGGTTTGTTTGCTTGACAGCAAGTCATAGAAGTTGTATTTCCATCATGGTTATTTTTTATTCCAGTGTTAATGCTAATATTGTAGCTCTTTTAATCCAGTTTCATAATATAAAATCTTCATTTCTTAAAAAGCAGGATTAAATCAGACATTTCAATTTAGAATATCAATGTAAAACTATCTTAAACAAACCATGAATAAGATAGGTGCCTATGCCTGATACACAATGTCAGAATAGAAGCACACAAACATAGAGATTGTTTTCATTTGTTTATTTCTTGTTAAGGTCTACAAGAAAACAACCACACTCAGAGAGCACCAAGAACCCCACAGAACCTGGATTTCCTAGCTTCACTACCACCCCACAAAGTTTAAGAGAGGGAAAGACAATGAGGATGTGATTTTTCATTTCCGATAAAAACAACATCCTCTGGCCAGACAAAGAGTTGTCTCTTTTCTCTTTTCACACAATTACTAAGACACCTGTATATGTGCAAAACCAAATAACCATTGGAATGGGCCTTGCATATTTTTGAACTTCATTGTTTTTGGTAATATTTAATGATATAATCCACTTTTCATTTTTATCTTGAAATGTTCCTCCTGGAAATGTGAGGTTCTTCAGACTAGGGAGTAGTTTGAGCTCAGCCTGTTTTTTGTTCTCTTTCAGCAGCATCAACAAAACTAAAGGCTGGATATGAGTCATGCATGAAAAAAAAAAGCTAAATAAATATGGAAACGAAACATAACATCCTTTTTTTGTTTTTTGATTTGTATGTGTGTGTATGTGTCCTATTATTTATTTATTTATTGTATTTTCTTTTTTTCCCTCTTTCTGTCATTTTTTTTCCTACTTTGTCTGTCTTAAGTGTCTGCAAATTCAAATTTCTCAGAAGTAGCACTTGCTGGTTTAGCGAGTAAAGAGAACTTCAGCAATATTAGTCTGCGTAGTGTTAATTTGACGGAGCAGAACTCAAACAACAGCGCTGTCCCATACAAGAAGCTGATGCTCTTACAGATCAAAGGTAGATGGAATGAATACATTTTTAATTAATCCAAAATGCAACATACATTAAATATTGGCAAGGCATTTCAATGATTTTTTTCAACTATGGAGAAGATTGGGAGAGGGACTCGTAACCATGTTTTAATACATTAATAAATGTACTTGTTATCTAGTAATCATGTTCTCTGGCAGATATCATTTTTTAAAAATCACATTAAAATCTGGCAATATTAGTAAGAGGACTAGAATTTAAAAAATAATTGTTTATTACTTTTACCGTATATTTTTATAAATAACACAAGGCAATGAACATACCTAATTAATACTCTTCCCTCCTCCTGTTTTCCTCACAACAATGACCCTGTCAGTTGTTGTGGGCTGAGAGAAAGTGACTAACCCTCTCCAATTGGCTTTCATGCCTAAAGTGGGACAAGAACTCACATCCTCCTAGTGATTGGCCCAAAATCACCCAGCAGGCTTTTATCCATTAAAATAACATTTAGGTTTTAAGACTGATATCCTAAGATGATCCTCAGGGCGGCTGAAAATTGTAAAATATGGTTACAATGCAGAAATAGAAGAGGCAATACTTTCTATCCTTACCAATGAATATAATGCAATTATTTGAACTCTTCATTTAAATACAAAAAACCCTCAGTGCTAAAAATGAGCAATTTATTATCAGGTTTCAGAGACTCACTCTTGGGGAGGTACTTTAGAGATTACAGGCCACCATGGATTGCCCATTCTGTGGAATAGAAATGGAATGGAATAGAATATGGGATGGGATGGGATAGGATAGGATAGGATAGGATAGGATAGGATAGGATAGGATAGGATAGGATAGGATAGGATAGAATAGAATAGAATAGAATAGAATTCTTTATTGACCATGTGTGATTTATACACAAGGAATTTGTCTTCAGTGCATAAACTCTCAATTTACATAAAAGCTGTAAGTGATAAATCATGATCATAGTCATCATAAAAATACATTCATCATAAATCATAAGATACAACACTTAGTGATAGTCATAGGATACTAAACAAGCAATCAACACAAACCATTCTAGGAAACTAAAACTATATAAATCATAAAGATACAGGCAATAAAGTTATAGTCATAAGTAGAAAAGGTGATAGGTAATAGGAAAATGAGAAATTTATAAATTAAAATACTTGATAATTTTTGTCTTAAGTGAACAGTTGCTTCAAGCTGCTTTATTCCTGGCATATGTTCAGTTTCTGCTGTTATGATGCATTAAATGTCATTTAGAAAATGATATTACTGTCTGAGATGAAGGTCTTCTTTCTGAAATAAACAGATCCGAAAGTTGCCTCTAGTCCCTTATTTATAGGATGTTGTTGGATTTTTTTTTTCTTTTTAGGAAGAAGACATGTCCAAACTAGATTAGTTGAACCAAGGGCCTCATCACTTAATAGCGGTGACTGTTTCTTGCTACTCACGCCACAGTTTTGCTTCCTGTGGGTAGGAGAGTTTGCGAACGTCATAGAAAAAGCCAAGGTTAGTGCTCGGAAAGTCTGAGATAGCACAACCCTTGGTTATCTTCTTTTGTTAGGTTCATGGGCATTTACAAAAATAACCATGCACAAGATTCTTAATGTCTGTAAACATAGTATGAATGTTGATGGGAAAATCCTTACAGCCTACCATCCCCCTTCTCATTTTTTTTTCATGCTAAAAATCATTAGGAAAAAGAGGTCCATGCTCAAGAAGAAAAAAATAAGTCTTGAATGACAGGAAGTCCTTTCTGACTTTTGCAGTTCAATGGGCTGTGTTCTCATTAAAATGGAAACAAGGGGACCTATCTGTATTTGACACAGTTTCCATCTTTCAGTTTAGCATGTCCCATGAAAATAGCAACAAGTACACATTCATTCTTTTTTGAATAGTCCAATTGTCCCCAAAGCTTAGGCAGTCCTATTCAGCTAATCATGTTCAATTTCTTAGGCTTCAGAGCTCGCAGCTTTAATTCAGACAAAGCGAGAACTTGGCTGCAGAGCTCCTTATATACAGACCATAGAAGAAGGCATCAATACTCATACTCATGCAGCCAAAGAATTCTGGAAACTACTTGGTGGGCAAACAAGCTATCAGGGTAAGAGTGGGTTTGTTTTTGCCATCTCCGTGCATTTTCCTCTTGTAAGAATATTCTTAAATTGCTTTCTTTTTTTAATTTGCCAACCCTGGGCTGCATTGTTAACCTGTTTATTTTGCCTGCCTCTTTCAAGCGGTTGGAACTCCAGAGGAGGACGAGATGTATGAAGCTGCAATAATAGAAACAAATTGCATTTACCGGCTTGTTGATGATAAACTTATTCCTGATGATGACCACTGGGGAAAGATGCCAAAGTGTACATTGCTAAATTCGAAAGAGGTATAGTAAGAAGCATTTTCAGAGTTAAAGAGTCAGCTTAAGTGCTGGTGAAAATGTATATGCAGATAGTCCTCGAAATGCGATCTTTTGTTTAGAGACCATTGGATTGGAATGGATTGGAATGGAATGGAATAGAATAGAATAGAATAGAATAGAATAGAATAGAATAGAATAGAATAGAATTCTTTATTGGCCAACAAGGAATTTGTCTTTGTGCATATGCTCTCAGTGTACATAAAGGAAAAAAATACATTCATCAAGAATCATAAGATGCAACACTTAGTCATAGTCATAGGTTACTAATAAGCAATCAAATCATACTAGGAAACAAACAATATAAATTCTAAAGACACAAGCAACACAGTTATAGTCATAATTGGGAAGAGATAGGTACTAGGATGGATGAGAAGAATAATAGTAATAAAGTCTTAGTAAATACATTGACAGTGTTGTGGGAATTAGTTGTTTAGCAAAGTGATGGTATTTGGGGAAAAAATGTTCTTGTGTCTAGTTGTTCTGGTGTGCAGTGCCCTATAGCATCGTTTTGAGGGTAGAAGATGAAACAATTTATGTCCAGGATGTGAGGGGTATGTAGATATTTTCACAGCTCTCTTTCTGACTCATGCAGTATACAGGTCCTCGATTGAAGGCAGATTAGTAGCAATTGTTTATGGCACTAAAAAAGTGATTTATTATCTTTTCTCATGCAACATTGTAGCATTCCCATGGTCACGTGATCAAAATTCGGAAGTTAGGCAACTGGTTCGTATTTATGACTGTTGCAGTGTCCCAGGATCATGTAATCTTTTGCAACCTTTTGGCAAGCAACAGCAGTATTTCCCTTAATAATTGTGGCAAGAAAGTTTGCAAAATGGAGCAAAACTCACTTAACAACCATCTCGCTTATCAACAGAAATGTTAGGCTCAGTTATGATCATAAGCTGAGGGGTCCCTGAGGGGTCCCTCACATGCTAAAAGCTCCTTTCCTCTTTGGGCTCAGGGATGGTTCTCTTTTTCTTTTTTTTTTACTGTCAAACATAATATGTATAAATCTAAAAGCTTCTAGTGAATCAATAGGAAAAACTGAGCAACCTTATAGGAAGCAGATTGTAACATTTGGGTTTTTGAAGAGAGTCAGTAAGATAGCTGTGTCAATAAGCACTGTTAAAGTATACTAATTAAATTTGTATAATTAAAATTAAAAATTAAAAAAAAACTACTTGTGATTTTTTTTTAAATAGAAATGATATGACTGTAAATGTTCTGACTTATGGAGAAGGTAGCCAAGATGCATTTGTGTAAGGAGACTATTAAACAATCATATCTAAGCATGCATTACATTTACACAGTTGAATGAATTGTAGAAAAAACTTACCCAATGCACAACTACATCAACAGCTAGTGAAGAAGAGGCACAGGGGAAAGAGGAAAATGTAGCACATCATATATTTTACCGAGATACTACAGTAGAGAGGGATGAAGTAAGTTCATATATCAGCTAAGCAATGCAAGTCACAGAGCATCATATGGTTCTGCTTCATTTGCATTTCTGTTGTAAATAATCTAGAATTTATTTTGTTTTGCAGCAGAAGCAAATGAAATAAATGTAACATAAAACAAAGAGGCTTCTTAAAAATGCAGAGCAGACATGGTAAAGATACCAAGGATATCCAACTCGAGGAACAGTGTGCTTCCTATAGTTTGGCCTCCTTCAGATGTATCATCAAAACACAGCTTTGTATTATGAAAACAAGTTTTAGACAGCTTTAAGCTTACACAATTTCTCCTCTTATTCTTTCCATATGAGTTTAAGGAGGAGTTTCAAAGCTCTCACTTCAATTTTAGATCTTCATGTTTCCACTGTTCAAACTTACATTAGGTAATCTTAAATACAGTTTGTTGAAAATAAATCTGATAATAGTATTCAAAACTGATTTGTTTCATCAAAACATAATGTTTCTTTAATGCTTTCTTGCCATTCAGTTAGCCTAAAAACAGAATTACCATCTCCTCAGTCTGGCTAGATAAAATAAGGAATAGAATAGAATAGAATAGAATAGAATAGAATAGAATAGAATAGAATAGAACAGAACAGAACAGAACAGAACAGAACAGAACAGAATAGAATAGAATAGAATAGAATAGAATAGAATAGAATAGAATAGAATAAAATAGGATTCTTTATTGGCCAAGTGTGATTGGACACATAAGGAATTTGTCTTTGGTGCATATGCTCTCAGTGTACATAAAAGAAAAGATACGTTTGTTAAGAATCATAAGGTACAACACTCGATGATAGTCATAGGGTACAAATAAGCAATCAAATCATATTAGGAAGCAGTCAGTAAAAATAGTAAGGATACCAGCAACAAAGTTACAGTCATACAGTCATGAGTGGGAGGAGATGGGTATAAATAAAATGGGAAGTGTTCATTATGGACATTTTTAGTTCATTCCAATATAAACAATGTTTTGTAGCATCTGGAACAAGACAAGCATATATCAAAACATGCATCAAAGTTCATAAAATCCCCAGATGAAGACTATCAATCAATCCAGAGCTTGCCCTTGTTCATATGACATTTTAATGTATGTTAACTGTTACTGCTTGGCTAAAAATTGAATGTTGTTTCTATATTTCTTGGATGGGGTAGCACTACCCCAAGCAGACCATGTGCGTAATGTGCGGGTTCTCCTGGACTTACGATTTCTGTTTGAAGAGCAGGTGGCGGTCGTGGCCAGGAGGGCCTTTGCGCAACTGCGGGTTGTGCACCAGTTACACCCTTTCCTGGATTAGCGGTCCCTACTCAGTCACTTCCCGTTTTGATTATTGCAACTGCCCTTGAAGAGCATCCAGAACCTCCAGTTGGTGCAAAAAGCAGTGGCCCACATGGTTTTTATGCAGACCCCGGTGTACACATGTATCACCTCTCCTGCAGGAGCTGCATTGGCTGCCAATTTGCTTCTGGGTGCAATTCAAGGTGCTAGTTGTCACCTTTAAAGCCCTTCATGGCTTGGGTCCGGGTTATCTGAGGAAACATCTCTTGCCAGTGACATATACCCAACCCATTAGAGTGAGGAGGCAGGGAATGTTGTGGGTCCCACCCTGAGGGAGATACACCTGGTGGGACCTAGAAAAAGGGCCTTCTCTGTGGTGGGTCCATCTCTCTGGAACATCATCCCCCCAGAGATTAGTATGGCCCCCTCATTAATACTATTCCGAAAGGCACTGAAGACCTGGTTTTGCCAGCAGGCCTGGGGAACCCAGAGAGGGGTGCAACCTATCAAATGGCTAGTGTGACCCGCTGTCATTGGTGGGGAGTGAGTTGGTTTTTGGTTTTGTTTTGTTTTGTTTTTCCCAAATTTTGTTCTATTGTACTTTACTAATTTATTTGATTCTTTTGGTTAGTTCTTATTGTTTTTATTTTTATTTTTTGTTTTAAATATGATTTTACATTGTGTAAGCCGCCTTGAGTCGCCATGGGCAAATAGGTGGCAATATAAATCAAATAAATAAATAAATAAAATATTTCCCTTTGCCCGTTCAAAAATTATTTCTTATTTCTTTGTTTTCTCTCTCTCTCTCTCTCTCTCTCTCTCTCTCTCTCTCTCTCTCTCTCTTTTTTTTAGGTCTTGGTGTTTGACTTTGGAAGTGAAGTATATGTTTGGCATGGGAAAGAGGTCACACTAGCACAAAGGAAAGTTGCCTTCCAGTTAGCCAAACACTTATGGAATGGGACTTTTGACTACGTCAATTGTGACATCAATCCCCTGGATCCTGGTGAATGCAATCCTCTTATTCCAAGGTATCAAATCTAATGACACCAATGATTTTCCTATCCTTATTTAAGAAAAGAAACATGTTAGGATAATAATTTTGATATTATTTTTCAAATTATTGGAAAGTTACATTCCTAGATTTTTGTCCCACATATACCTGTGGGGATATGTATCAAAATTGTCCTGTTATAGGCAGGAACACAGCCTAATTAAAACCAGTACAATTGTCCTTAATTGTAACTCCCAGGCAATCAACAGGTAATCATGTACATGTTGAGTGAAAAACATAATTTGGATAGGGTGCAAAAGTAATATGGATATAGTGCAAAACTCAGCCAAATTAGATCATGAGAGTTTCAGTCTTGAACATATCAAATTGAGAGAGAGAGGAAGTTGATTCCAAGAGGCAAAGCATTTCAAGGATAGATTGAAGATAGTTGTCACAACAGCATAATTAGCCTAGAAATAGTATTTGATTATCTGCAGACAGGGAGATTTATACAGAGAAGCTTCTTAACGTAACCCTGACCCTAACATAGCTAATATACGTATAGTTCATCTAATATATTCAGTCAATGTGCAGGATTAAGGACATATAATTTTTACAAGGAGATTTTTCTTTTTTTTTTCTTTTTTTGAAAATTTTATTTGGGTTTTCACAAAAAAACATAATACAAATAAAACATCTTTTTTTGAAAATAGCATGGTCCCGGGTTATCACTTCTTCATATAGACACAAACTCAATTTCATGTTCATTTTTATGTTCTATTCCATATCTTATTACTGTTTTACATTTTCTACATAATTTTTCCCCTCTTTTAATTTTCTCAACTTTATTTTGATTATCTCATCTCAATTCAAATCATTATATTTATACTTTTGTCTGTCCTGTTTCAATTTCATATTATCTTTTCTCATTAAGCAAATTTTCCCTTGTTACCAATTGGAGTATGACACCTTTATATCTTTTAATTTTATCCATTCAACTCTTATTTAAGCTTCAATGTATACGTTTAAGATTATAACATTCAATATAATACATAACTTCCAATCGAATTCTGCTTGGTACATTCTTAAAATACACACTATATTCTTTAAAAAAGATTATAATATATATATATATAGCACTCATTCCATTCCAATTCAATTCTATCATTAATATTCATTAAAATCTTAACATCTTTAACATTCCTTTTCAATTAAATATTATACTTCCTTGGGAACACTTATAAACTTTCCATAATTAATTCTTTTATTTTTTTTCCCATATTTCTCTTCACTTATATTTTATAAATCATTAATAATTAAAATGTTCCCATCCTTTCCTAATTTAATTCTCTCATTCACTTTATTTCATTTATTTATTAACAAACATTCCACTAGATTATGATAAATATTTTATCCATCATATAATCATATTTTCTAAAAATTTATATTTGTAATATAACAATACTATCTTATGTACCTTGGCAGAATCCCTTTTGCAATTCAGTTTTCACCCATTATCTCTAAACAGGCTTATACTTTCAATTCTTACACCTTTTCCCTGTTTCTCTATATCTTGTTTCTTTCCTTTATAACTTCTTTTCCTTTCCTTCTTCCCCCTCTTCTTCTCTCTCCCCCTTTTACCCCCTTGTCTCTCTACTTCTAATTCTCTCTTCTGTAGTCCCCTCTTCTGTTGCTTTCTAATATTATACTTATTTTTCAAACTATTCTCTCTTTTTTTTGGTTGTTTTTTCAAATCTTAAACTTTTCATTCTCTTTCCCCACTTTCCTTTTTTTCCCCACATAAAATTACTTGATCATTAAAGATGGCTCCTTCCTTGTCCTTCCTTGTCCCTAGTTCTGCAAGTGTTTCTTGTTGTTTCTCATAGTTCCAGATCTCCATTTCTAAAAGTTGAAATACGAAGCCAAAAGAACCTCTCCCTTCTTGTGCATCTTCTTTGTACTTTTTAAGTTCTGTTTTCAGTTCTTCTAAAAGTGGTGCCATTTTAAACACTTTTAAACAACCACCCGATTGATTTTAGTCATTTAAATGCAATAACCAAAAATCCAAAGATCACCAAGTAATCCAAATAATCCAAAGCTATTTCTTCTTGCTTCTTTTTTCCACTTTCTCTTCCTGGGGTTCTATTATTTTCTTGCCAAGTTTCAGTTAAAATGTATATTTTAGGAATCTTGTTGAGGTTTCACTGTAAATTCCTTTTAATTCCAGGCAGTCTCCTTCATTTTTCCAGATCCTGCCCTTTTATTCTTTTTCTCTCCTTTCCTGCTTTCCTCCTTTCAAATCCTTTCCCTTTCCTCTCTCCTTTGCTGCTTCAAAATCTTCTTTGGGAACAATGTTATTTTTTTTTATAGTTTAAATTCCAGGGTACCTTACGTTGTTGCTTTTGCAGTTTAACCCGGTCAACCAAAACTTTCTCTTCTTATCTTCCTCCTGCACATTCTTTTCCAGTCGAGTTCTTCTTTGGGGTGGCCATTTCTGACCACCGCTGCAACCGCCTTTGGGAAAGGGAGTAATGGCCAGCTGCGGAGGAGAAATGTGGCTCTCCTCAACCCTGCTGGCAGTCTCCCCCCTCTTCACCTCTACGGGGTGGCTTAGCCCCGAAACCAGCCGGCTCGGGGTGCTCCGGCAGCAACCACAGATCAAAACCGTGCACGATTGCGGTTTTGGTCTGTCAGCGAAGGGACTCAAACCAGAAGTCCACAAGGAGATCTTTCTTGCAGTACTGTGTCACTGTACCTTCAGCCCTTCAATTTTATCTGGTGATACTGCCCAAACTTTTCGGATTTTGAAGTTGTTCTTGGATATCTAGGTCAAAATCGGAGTCTGCAGACTCAGATTTATGGGGACAAAGTCTTCCAAGGCCTCTGTTGGCTTCTCTATATCTTCAGGGGCTTTTTGGGGGAGGAGGGGGGTGGAAATCTTGACCTGCAATTTTCAAAAATCAAGACTTATAACTGCAAAATTATGAGCTACATATTTTGGCAATACCATTTATTTATTTAGTTTTGGTTGGCTGAATTTTCTTTTATAGCATGAAATGTTAAATGATGTTGGAACTGTCTATTTATCTCTCTCTTTTTATTTTTCTTTTGTCATGCAGAAAAGGACAAGGACGACCAGACTGGGCCATTTTTGGCAGACTCACAGAACACAATGAGACAATACTATTTAAAGAAAAATTTCTTGATTGGACTGAATTGAAGAAACTTGCTGAGAAGTATTCCACTGAATCCACTCAGAAGGTGGCAGACTTTCTTACTTGTTTATAATTATTACATTAGGACTCACTTGATAAATGTATTGCAGATTTTTTGGCATGAAAGGTACCTTGCTTTTAAAAAAAATCAGCTAGGCAAAAGAAGTTGTTTTAAGTAGATTTATAAATAGCCTAAATTAGTGGTTGACCCATATAATCAGGAAACTTTCTAAAATCTGCACAGTAGTCACTAGAGTACAGTAAGTATATAATAAAAGATTACGGTTCCCCTCACACATACATGCTAGTCGTTTCTGGCTCTAAAAGCCGAAGAGCCAGCGCTATCCAAAGATGTCTCTGTGGTCATGTTGCTGGCATGACTAAATGCCGAAGGCACACATAACGCTGTTAACTTCCCACCAAAATGGTCCCTATTTTTCTACTTGCATTTTTACATGCTTTCTGCTAGGTTGGCAGAATCTAGGACAAGTAACGGGAGCTCACTCCATTAAGCAGCACTAAGGGATTCGAACCACCAAACTGCTGACCTTTCTGATAGACAAGCTCAATGTCTTAGCCACTGAGCCATCACGTCCCTATAAGTAAATAATAGATTGGTGGTGGTGGTGGTGGTGGTGATACATTATAAAAATAAATGACATCTTCATTTATGAGATAGTTTATCATTAAAAATCCAAGTCCTAGTATCTCAGGTAAACTCAGAAAGTAATTGAATTACTTTCAGTTCTTTGGAAATGCAGTTCTTGGAGAGCAGCATGAGTGAATTGTTGATAAAAGCTATCTATGCATTAGCACAGTAATAAGACTTTTGGCTTTTTATTGTGATATGAACAATGGACTTTTTGCCTTGCTGTCTAAGACTAAATAACTTTGTGTCTTGTTACAGGAAGAAACTAGATCTGACACAAAGCCATATGATGTCCTGCTCATGGTCCCCCTTCCCCAGGCAACCGTCGGCACTGTCTTAGATGGGATAAATATTGGCCGCGGCTATGGATTCATTGAAGGAGAAGATGGGAGACAATTTGAAATTATCACTATCTCTGTGGACGTCTGGCACATCCTGGAATTTGATTATAGCAGGCTTCCTAAACAAAGTATTGGACAATTTCATGAAGGTGACACATATGTTGTCAAGTGGAAATACCTAGTGAGCACTTCAGGTCAGTGAAATATCTCCATCTTCTGTTATGATTTAAACTTCTATAAATGATATGCTTTAATAAGCACTCCCTGTATCTCACATTAAATGTAGCTATTCAAGGCCATCGGGAGTTGATTATGGAGTTTACCATGTTAATTTATAGAAAGTGCTTCTGAAAACAGAAAACAAGTGATGGGTGTATGTTTCTCTATCTGAAGTTATATACGTTTGTGTGTGTGACATATATGCTCCAATTAATATAAATCTATACATAAAACGTACGCACATTTTTAATAAGACATGATGGGCCTGCAAAGTACCGCAATCATACTGAATTTGTTTCAAGAGCTGCTGATCAGCCTCCCGAAGATATTGGTCTGCCTGAATATTTATCTCCTGGTACTTTTGAACAGCATATTGAATTGCTTACATATAATGTTTCTTAGCGCAGCTTTGTGTGCGAGTTCTAAGCTGGATATATGCTTTCCAAGTTATGACCTCTTTGTTTTGATCTTGCAGTTGGAAGCAGACAAAAGGGGGACTTACAGACGAGGGTCGTTGGCAAAGAGAAATGTGTGTACTTCTTTTGGCAAGGGAGACATTCTACTGTCAGTGAGAAGGGGACTTCTGCATTGATGACTGTGGAGCTTGATGAAGAGAGAGGTGCTCAGGTGAAGAAAGCAGAGAATAGGCAGAATAATAGGTTTTGTGAGTCTGGGGTCTCTAGCTTCACTCTTTCAAACAGAGCATATTGCCAATCCATCTAACGTATGGATGTCAAACTGGCGGCCCGCAGTCCGGATGTATCATGCACAGGCCACACCCACCCCAGCTCCATGATTGGGAAAAACATTGTAAAATGTCACATGATGACAATGTGACGCGGCTAGTTTGACACCCGCGTCTAACATGTATAAGCTTCCATGTCTTTAATAGCACAGGGCAACTTACAGAAATGTAATAAAACAATCCTGAAATAAACACGTAGTAAATAATGGTTAAGGATCAATATTAAAATTAGTGGTATATAATAGATTAAATTACGTTTAACTTCCTCCTAATCTGTAAGATCTTAAACAAGAAGAGGCTTGTTTTAACTCCAGTAGAATTTCTTTTATATTCTGACACCACCACCACCCAAAGGAAAACATACAATTTACTTTGGCCAAGGATGGACAGTCTGAAATCTCTGAGCTATAAAGGCCACCAAATCCTTCTAACACCAACTGCAAAACATTAGCAGATTTCCTATCGTTTTGAGATTATATTGTAGTAAAAGCTCTAAAAAATGGTTAACCCCCTTTAAAATACAAAGTAAGAAAGATTATGGACAAACTGGGTGACATGTTCTCATGTAGAGTGTGTCAGCTAGTAATGTTCTTTTTATATTTTAAACAAGAGCTAAGCTATTGAAATAATTGCAAGTACAGGTTGTCCTCACTTTATCAGCAATCATTTAGCTATTGCTTGAAACTACAACAGTAATTTCCCTGAAAAGTACTTACAATCCCTCCCAAAATTTCATCAGATTGGTTTAATGATTCTCTTAATAACCTCCACAAAAAAGGTAGCAAAGGGAAAGTCATATGAGTGACTAGCTTTACAATTACCATGACTTACAACCATAGTGGGCATTATGGTTGTAAATTGAGGATTACCTGTACTTAATCTATATTAAAGTCCATGCTGCAATACTACCAGATAGTTTATTGTACTTAATAATACATTCCATTTTCAGAGCAGATGATATTAAATAGTAAGAATAATCCTACGGCTTGATAAAACTGTAGATGAACTCTCTACAAGGGCTGCTCTAAGCTTGGCAGTCTTAATTCACTGAATATATGGATATTCATACCGGTTGCATATGGTATTGTGCTGTAGTTTGGACAACAGATCAATGACACTTATTTTCTGTACTGAAGAACACAGATTCAGTTGCCAACCTCCCAGTAAGGCTAGGAACAATGAATCTGTAAAGGATCACTGTCATCCCATTTATTATAAACAATATCTAAATAAACTGATCATTCAGGTTGGCAAAAGGCAACTTTCTGTGCAGAATAGTTTTGTGGGAACAACCCTGTTGCCAGGGAACAATTATAAAAGCCAAGTATTTGCCAGCACTTTTGTCCTGCTTTGCGACAGGTTCTCACTAGAAGGAAACTTTTTCAAGGGAGTCTGATATAACTGCTCAGATATTGGGCAGATCTAAAAGTTATGTAAACAATGCATGAAAATTAACTTGTTCCTTATTAATATACAATCAATTCTATATTGGATAATGTGGCCTGCCAAAGTAGTATATGATGGATTTAATGGGATTAGTATTAGTATTCTAACCTACTGGGACTGCCACAAATAAGGCCTGGTTTTTTACTAATTTTTCTTAGTTCAGACATTTTGTACAAAGCCCATATATAGGAAAGTCCGCATATTGCCTTCAAGCCAATTTTACTGTGGTCTTGCACAAATGTTAATTTGTTGTGATTTTTAATTACCATTTTTTCAGGTACAAGTTCTTCAAGGAAAAGAGCCTCCATGTTTTCTTCAGTGTTTTCAAGGTGGAATGATTGTTCATACAGGAAGAAGGGAAGAGGAAGAAGAAAATACACAAAGTAAAAATAGCTTCTTGTTGCAATAGTTTTGCTGAAATTTGAAGGGACAGGAGAATGAACTTGTGTGACAAATAACCTTAAATGTAATCCTTTTGCTATTTTATTTAGTTTAAACGCTACTTCAATAACTAGTACAGATGGTCCTCATTTTGCAATCACAATTGAAGCCAGCAATATAGTCACTAAGTGAAGCGGTCACTAAATTGGGACAGTGCTTACTATTTTACTTCAGCCTTTTACAGACCTGCAAAGGTAGTAAATATGAAGACTGATCATAAAGTTATTTTTTCATCACCATCTAAATGGTGAACAGTTGCTGTATAAACCAGTCGCTAAACAAGGACTATGTGTAAAATTAGGGGTTAGTCCAGGAAGCAAAATAATGTTAGGCAAATCCGATACATTTGAGCATATGTGAAAAGTTGCCTTTTTAACAACTTACCAACCACAGCAATAAAGGGTGGGGTGGGATGAAGAAGAAAAAAATGAAAATGTAGATTGATGGTATAGTTATTCTTTTCAGCCAAAAATAGCCCAACTTCAAAGCAAGGAAAAGCTCAGGCCTTGGTCATCTCAACTAATTCTACATGGGGCTACCCTAGAAGGGTATTTGGAAGTTATAGTTAGCATAGAATGCAGCAGTGCGGACAATTCTGGGAGCCTCTATGGTGGCAAATTTGCTTCTGGGTCCGGTTCAAGATATTATCTTTTTCAAAGCCCTTTATGGCATGGATCCAGGTTAATTGAGGAACCATCTCACTTCAGTGGGTTTGATCCACCCCTCCCACATTAATAGAAAGGGCAGATTGTGGACCCCATCAATCATGGAATTCCAGCTGGTGGGGTCAAGGAGAAGGATCTTTTCTGCTGTGTCTCCTGCGCACTAGTACATTGTGCCACTAAAGATGAGATCTTCACACACACTCTTGGCCTTCAAGATGAACATGAAAACCTGGTTCTGCCAATTGGCCTTGGGATCCAATGAGGCATTTCAGACAGGAAGTGGTGAGTGGATTAAATGAAGACTCCACCTCCACCCCACTGTATATTGCTGCTTTCTTGGCTATTTAATGGCAATATTTATTGTTTTATTGTTTTGATATTGCTATTTAGCTTGTTGTAAGCTGTCTAGAGTCCCCTGATATAAATTTAATTAATAAATAAGGAAAGCTCCCTTATAAAAATGTGAATATGCCACTGTCAGTCAGTTGGTAAACAGTTCTGAAAAAGGTAAGCCCATGCTTGAGTCAGTATAAGGTAACACTGAATTTTAACCTCTATTATGAGAATCCTGATAGTTTGTTCAGATAGGAAATCATCATTGTGGAATTGGCACATCTACAATCAAGTGCAAAGCAAGGAAAAAAATGAAGATTCATTATATAAACAGTTCCTGTTGATTTTAGTTTGTCTAGGTGACATTTGTAGATTAATTTATAAACCAACTTTGACAGGTGAATAATAGATCTGTGTCTTTAATGCCTGCTGCAGGTGATTGGCGATTGTATTGTGTTCGAGGAGAAGTTCCTGTTGAAGGAAACTTGCTTGAAGTAGCCTGCCACTGTAGCAGCCTGAGATCTAGGACTTCAATGATTGTTCTCAGTATCAACAAAGCCCTTATTTATTTGTGGCATGGCTGTAAAGCCCAGCCACATACCAAGGAAGTAGGAAGAACAGCAGCCAACAAAATAAAAGAACAGTAAGTAGAAGCTCTGTGTTTGCTTTTGTAGAACTAATACTTGCCAACTCTAGCAGGGGATGAAAAATGATCATGCACTAGGGTAATATTTAAAATTATGCTACTTATGTAAGATATTTCTAAATTGGTTCCAAATGTTTTTCCACTTCATCATACAGATATGACTTCATATACATACATAATTAAAATTAAAAATAGCAAAGTCAATAAACTATTCTGTGTCATTTTTATTCATTGCCATTGCTCCGAGGAATTCAAGATGGTTACACTGTATGTGAATTTAATGTTCCATTTAGCTTTTCAACAATCTAATGAAATGGGTCAGGCTGAATAGCCTTAACTTCCTTAAGATCTTCTCATCAGCTAAAGTAGGATTGGAGCCTTGATATTCCAAATTGTAGTCCACTGTTCTTTAAGTTTTAAAGCTTTTCAGCTCTGTAGTTATCTATTACTAATGGTGTGGAGAAGATGAATTGTGAAGTTTTTCTCTATGTTTCCTAATGTTGAAACTAATTTATCCAGTGGAATTAATTAGCAATAGATTTTAAATGGATAAAAATGTATTTTCTTTATACAATGAATAATTAATTTATAACATTTACTGACTGTAACAAATTCTGCTTTAGTTACAAATGGGCTAACAACAAATTATACCCAACTTTCAAAGACTGTCTATTAACATTTAATAGTTGTGAGGATTTTAAGGGAGTTCTATATTCGGTGTTAGTACAGCATTATAAAAGAAGATTGGTATTCACAATATATTAGAGGGCTTTGCAGCAGCATCTGATTGAATGCTGGACCTTGGGAATGATTCAGAAGGAATGCATTTTTGTCCTTAAATTGGAAAACCAATACAGCATATGCAGTGGAGGTATTCAAAAACTTTTATTATCGGTTCTGTGGGTGTGGCTTGGTGGGCGTGGCCATGTGACTGCATGGGTGTGGCTTTTTTGCAGCCCCCACCCGTTTCTTGGGAGCTTCTTAGCCACAGAGGAGCCTCGGGTGGGGGTGTTTTTGCTCCCCTAAGGCTCTTCTGGGACTCAGGAAGAAAAGGAACAGAGCATGGGAGGGGCATGCAGCACTCCTCCAAGCTCCATTTTGGGAGATCTTAGCCTCAGAGAAGCCTGGGGGGGGGGCGTTTTTGCTCCCCTAAGGCTCCTCTGGGGCTCTGGAAGGCAAAAAATGGAGGGGGACTGAGCTCCTCCCTCCATTTTTTGCCTTCCTGGGCCTTAGCAAGGGGAATCTCGGCACAGCTGATCTTATCTAAAGCTGATTATCGGGAGGGGGAAAAAAGAAAGAAATACCTTAGGAGAATGTCAGGCAGGCGGGCGGGGTGAGCAAGCATCGGGCGGGAGGGCGACCGGGTGGGGGATGTGGCCAGCCAGAACTTACTACCGGTTCAGCGACCCACATCAAATTCTTGCTACCGGTTCACCGGATCCGTTGTGAACCGGCTGAATACCACCACTGAGCATATGTGGTTAAGTGAGCTTCATTTGCAAAAGGGTGCATATGAAAAGAGACAAGAGAGATGATGAAGCTGGGCAAGAGCTTTTCCCTGAATTCCAACTTAGATTTCTCTCAAAATTTATTTTATTTTTATTTTATTTATTTATTTATTTTATCAAAAGCTTACAATACAATAGAAATAAGAATAACCCTAAGTTTAAATACAAGAAATAGGAACTAATAATTGGGGACAATAGGACAGGGACGGTAGGGACGATTGTGTGCTTATGCACGCCCCTTATAGACCTCTTAGGAATGGAGTGGGGTCAATAGTGGATATTTTGAGGGTAAAGGAGTGGGAGTTTGATTGGTTCTTGGTATGAATTATGCTAGATTACTAATTCTGAATCTAACGGACTGATAATTGCATTGTAGATGTCCCTTGGAAGCAGGATTGCACAGTAGTAGCAAAGTGACAATACATGAACACGATGAAGGAACAGAGCCAGTGGGATTCTGGGATGCCTTAGGAAGAAGAGACCGAAAAGCATATGACTGCATGTTGCAAGGTAGGATGTTTAAGATGGCCAAGATCTTTTAAATCTTATTAACCTTTTTAAAATCAGTGTCTGTCAAAAACTTAAGAACGTAATCAAAATGTACTGGATCATATTTCTACGTAAATGTTTTAACTGAACACAAGCAGTATCTTGATCTGAAAATTCTGCATACAAAAATGAATGTATTAGAACACAGGTGTCAAACTTGCCACATCACCTTGTAATGTTTCGTGATGTTTTTCCCATTCACGGAGGGTGACTTGCACGTGACAAATCAGGCCTGGGGCCGCCAGTTTGACACCACTGTATTAGAATAAAATAAGTACATTAGGAAGGAGATCCTATAAAATCCGTAGGTGCAAAAATGTATGTACAAAAATATAAATAAATTTTCATAAGTTTTTTTGCAAAAAAAGTGAAAACTAATATGAATCAGTTGCTCTGTTTTATAAAAGAAAGTAAACAAATTTATTCTATCCATATTAAGTTATTTAAAAATGTACTCCTTGCCAGAAGTACGATGAAAGTAAGGCAGTCAGGGAGAGAAGAACCAATCTCACAACAACAGCAAGAAGAAAACTGAATCATCACTAGACAAAAAACTAAACAGACTTAGATAAATGGAGATAGGAAAGAAACTCCTCTCCATTAATATAAATGGTTTAAATTCAACATATAAAAGGAAAAGGATATTAACTAAATTAATTAGACAAAACGCCGACATAATATGCCTACAAGAAACACACATTAGGAAAAATGATGAAAGATATTTAATTTGCCCGAAACTTGGAAAACTTTTTACAGCACCAGCAGACAAACATAAAAAGAAAGGAATTGCAATATTTGTGAAAGAAGATGTAAAAGCAGAATTAATCTGGTCGGATCCGGAAGGAAGAACTCTGGTTATACAAATTTGGATTAATCATATTACATTTTTATTGGTAGCAATCTACGCGCCAAATGAAGAACAAGGGAAATTTTTTAAAGATCTTCATCAAAAAATAATAGGTTTCAAAAAAAGGAATATTTGCATGATAGGCGACTTCAACTCCATTGCTGATCATCAAAAAGACCATAGTAATGCGAATAAGAACAAGAAAGGGAAAAGAGAATTTTCTATGCCCTGTAAGGACATGATGAAAGAGCTAAACTTAATAGATTTATGGAGAAAACTAAACCCAGAAGAGAAACAGTTTACATATTATTCCAATCCACACAAAATTTGGACCAGAATAGATATGGCCTGGATGGATGGGGAATTCGCTAATGAAATAAAAGAAATTAAAATCCTACCAAATGAATGGGCTGACCACAACCCAATACAATTAATTTGGAGAGATAGGAGAAAAACAAAGAAAAGATGGACACTAAATACTCAGTTAATAAACGAAGAAGAGTACATTAATAAGCTGAAAGAGGAATTAAAATTTTTTCTAAAAGAAAATAATAATGAAGCAACCACGAAACAAAATATTTGGGATACAATGAAGGCAATTATAAGAGGAACAACAATCTCTTATAACGTCATGAGAAATAAAAGAATACCTGCCCAACAAAATAAATTCCAACAACAAATTAAAGAATTAGAAATACAACTACAAAAAACCCCTAAAAACCAGAGAATACAAAATCAGTTAATAACAATTAAACATAAATTGAACTTACTTGAACAAGATAAAATAGAAGTTAATTTGAAAAGGTCCAAACAAACTTATTTTGAGTATGCAAATAAACCAGGAAGATGGTTATCCCATAAACTTAAAAAAGTGAAAGAAAAGAGATTGATACATCAACTAATGGATGAGAAAGGCGTCTTACAACATGAGATAGAGAAGAAAAAAGATATCATTTACAACTATTTTCAAAGATTATATAAAAAGGAGGAAGTTAATGAAGATAAAATAAGAACTTATTTAGAGGAGACGAATGACAAGGTAATTGGAGAAGAATGGATAGAATTATTGAATAAAGACATTACATGGTCTGAATTGAAGTCAGCAGTGGAGAACCAAAGTAATAACAAATCTCCAGGACCAGATGGGATTCCGGCAGAACTATACAAAGCAATAATGGAACTAGTAGGACCACTGATACTGGAAGTGTTTAACGAGGTACTTCTGGCAGCCAAGATGCCGGACTCGTGGAGGGGGGCGCTGTTTCGCTAATCCCGAAGGAGGATGCAGATCATAGATATATTAACAACTACAGACCGATTTCACTTTTAAATGCCGACTATAAATTATTTACTTCTATCATAGCTAATAGAGTTAAACAAGCTTTAAATCCACATATCCACGAAGATCAAAATGGATTCCTTCCGTCCCGACAAATAAAAAACAATTTAAGAACCGTTATCGATGTCCTAGAATACTATGAAGCCCATCCGGAGAAATAATCCGCACTCATGTTTTTGGATGCTGAGAAAGCATTTGATAACTTAAATTGGCACTTTCTAATTCAAAAAATTTACAATATGAGTCTTGGCACCAAATTCGAAAACATTATAATAACAATTTACAATACACAACAGGCTAATATACTAATTAATGGCGAACAAACAGGTCCAATAAATATAGAAAAAGGTGTTAGACAGGGCTGCCCTCTCTCACCTCTTCTTTTCATATTTGCCGTAGAATCACTTTAACACAGATTAGACAAAATTCTAAAATTAAAGGAGTGAGGGTCAAATCAGAAGAATATAAACTACAAGCGTTTGCTGACGATATGGTTTTCTTTTTGGAGGAACCTATGGAAAAAGGATATAATCTAATAAAAGAATTAGAACGATTTGGCGCAGTGGCAGGATTAAAAATTAATAGAAAAAAGATGAAATTAATGACCAAAAACTTAACAGAAAACCAGAAGGAAGAATTAGAAGCAATGATGGGGATACAGGTAACAAAAAGGGTCAAATATTTAGGAATATGGTTAACACCACAAGGTAAATCACTCAAAGAGAACAATTATGATAAATTACTTCAACAAACAAAGAAAGATTTAGAATCCTGGAATAAGCTGCAGCTCTCCCTATTGGGCAGGATTGCCTCGATTAAAATGAACATATTACCAAAATTTCTTTATTTATTCCAGACAATTCCAATTAAGTTGCCAAAAAATTTTTTCGAAGAATTAAATAAGATTACACTTAAATTTATTTGGCAGGGGAAAAAAGCCAGGATCAATGTAAAGGCCTTACAAGATGCGAAAAGTAGAGGGGGTCTAGCTCTTCCAAACTGGGAATTATATTATTCGGCAGCTATCTTATTATGGTTAAAAGACTGGGTGAACTTACTTAATAAAAGAATTTTAGCATTAGAAGGGCATGACTTCCAGAGAGGGTGACATGCCTTCTTATGGGAAGTGGGAAAACCCAAGCAGTCTTATTTTCACAGACACCTTATTAGGGACTCATTATTAATTAATTGGAAAAAAATATGCAAAAAACACTATCTAAAAATTCCGATCTGGCTATCAACAATGGAGGCAATGGCACATCCCAATAATTTGGACATAACAAAAATGATTAAATACAAAGATTTATTAGATCCGCAAGGAAAATTAAAAACTCGACAAGAATTACAGGAACAGGGATTTAAAATTGATCAGTGGTTATATATTCAAATTCATAGCAGATACAAACAAGACATTAAAGACTTCGGAATTTATAACAAACTGCAGTATTTAGATAAAATTTTATTAGGATCAAACAAAAAGAACATATCTAAATTCTATAAATATTTACTGGAAGTAGAATTAGAACAAGAGATAGTCAAAGGGAACATGATAGCCTGGAGCAGGAATGTCGGAAGAAGTATTACATTATCAGAATGGGAAAAGATTTGGAACAGAAATACCAAGATTACAAAATCGGCAGCATATAAAGAAAATACATATAAAATGTTTTATAGATGGCACTTGCCCCCTTCGAGGTTGGCGAAAATGAACCCTAACACGAGTCCAAAATGCTGGAAATGTAAAAGCATAGAAGGAACCTTTTTTCACATGTGGTGGTCCTGCAAGGAAACCCAGAAATATTGGCAAAAAATCAGAAAATGGTTGGAGGAGATAACCAAAGAACAAATCGAATACAAACCAGAGTTCTTCCTCCTAGGGATCTCTGACAAACATTTACCCAAAAAGATGAAATATGTAACAATTCATATTTTAACTGCGGCCAGATTAGCGTTCGCTCACTGTTGGAAATCACCTTATACACCTACAGAACAAATGGTTATCCAGAAAATATGTGATTGTGCAGAAATGGACAAATTAACTATAGCACTTAAAAATAAAGAGCCAGGACTTCCGGTTTGTCGGCTTCGCGAGCGGCAGGGATTCGCGAAGCTGCGCGATCCCTGCTGCGCTAGCCGCTTTTGGTGCTCCGATCCGGACGGGTCCGGAGCTAGGCTGCCCTGCAGGGGCAGCTGAAGATAGGGGGGATCCGGAGAGGGGTTTGGGGGTGTTGCAGACCCCCTCCCCGGCCGGCAGAACCCCCTTTTCCCAAGACGGTGCAGCGGCAGTCCGCAATGGCCGCCACAAAGAAGCTGGCAGCCGGGTAAGAATGCGCAGGAGGAAGTGGAGAAAGTTTTTGAAAAGAGAAAGTTTTTCTTGGTTCCCAGGACTCTAAGACATATTTAACAAAACTCCTGAAAATTATGACTTTCTGAATGATACCTTCTAGAAGAGGAAAAAAGCGGCAGTTTGGTGGTGCTGAAAGGAAAGTTTACTCTCCTTCCCGACGGAATTAATAAGTGGACATTGAGAAACCTGTTTTTTTCAGGTAAAACTAGCTTTATGGGATAAGTCGGAAGGGAGAGGACAAAAAAATATATTCATCTGGTTTGATTTTGTTGGAGGAGATGCCTTAAGGATTTGAAGACAGAAATAGAACTCCAATAAGGCTTCAAAATACAGATTTGGACTTTCTTTTTTCTTTTGTCTGATACTACCCCTGGAAGAGAAAGGGAGAATTTTGTCTTGGCTTGGATTGATTGAGGATTGTGGATTTTGGGATTGTTTTACTTTTTTTTGAAATATCTTGGTTGGTGTAAGAAGAAAGAGGGAAAAAAGAAAAGAAAAGAAAAGATCTATAATGGCTTTTTCTTTTGAGGAACTGAGGGAAGAATATGAGCAAACAAAAGCAGCCGGTAAAGATGGTATGGAAAAAGCCTTCCTATTTTTAGAAATGGCGCTGGTTAACTATCAACAAACAATACAACAGATGGAGGCAGAAGAACAACAAGAAAAAGAAGATGAAGACGCCATCTTTAATGAATTCCAAAATTTAACTAAGAAAGAAGGAAGGAAGAAAGCGAGGAAAATGAAGGACTTAAGATCTAAAAAAACATTTAAGAAAGAGAAAAATAAGATGCAAAATAAATATAATGATAGTAAACAAAAGAAAAAGGGAACACAACAGAGAAGGGATGCCAGCAAGGCAGAGGCTAGAAGAAGGGGGGGGGTAGGAAGATTTGGTGGGGGAAGAAAGAAAGGGGAAAGGCGGAGAAAAGCCACAAAGTTTTGAACTTAGATGGGAAAAGAGGATTTTTTTTTAGGGACAAAGGGTAAAGTACAATTTCCTTAAAAAAGATTTTGTAAGGTACATAAGATGGTATTGTAACATCTGTATTAGAAATAGAAAATTAGAATGGCTTAAGAGTTAATAAGAAATTAAAATGTTGAAATGTTTAACAATGATTGATTTTAAAATGTAATAAAATATTAAAGGGAAAGGCAATGGGAATGTTATAAGATTTAATATTTAGATTTATTATTTAACTATGTATTTAATCATTTTGGATTTATTACTCTGTTTTTATTGTTATTAAAAGAAAAAAATTAGTAGATAGAATGTACCAAGCAGAATCAGATTGGGTATTAGGTGTTATTTTAAATGTTAATCTAATTAATTTAGGGGGAGGATAGAAAGGCATCATACTCTGATTAGTGATTTCAGGAGAAATTCTTTTTTTTTTTTTTATAAGGAATGAGATAGAGGGATAATAAAGAATGGGCAAAAGATACAAATATAATGATTTAAATTAAGATGGATTAAATAAGATAGAATTATGAAGAGTGAAATGTGTGGAGAAGTTTATATAGAAGATATAGAATGGTAAACAAAATAGGTAATGATATGTAAGATGAGCATGAATATAATTGAAGCCCATATAAAGAGAGGTACCTGGGGCCAAGTTACTTTCCTAAAAGATTTTTTATATGTTTGTTTGTTGTGTGTTTATGTTTTTGAGAGTATTAATAAAACCTTGTAGAAATACAGAATGAGAATAATGGTAATCAAGTCAGAAAGAAATAGATGAAATAATAATAGTGAAATTGAATAAGAGTAAAGAGAAGTAAAGAGAAATTGGATAAGAGGTATTTTTATGCTCATATGGAAATGGCTTAAAATAGAATTGTATTGTATAAAATAAGGTTTTATCTGACTTGTAAAATTTATAATGGAAAAAGGTTCAAATATGTAATGGTTGATGATGATTTGTTTGTCTTTGAAATTAATAAAATTTGCTTAAAAAAAATAAAAAATAAAAAGCCTTCAACATTTTACGATAATTGGAACTCTTGGTATAATTGGTTAATCCAGAGATAAACTGCTTAAAAGACAATGGGTAATTTAAGCATAGATATCGATAAGATGTGCGTATTCAAATTAAATTAGAATTGAATCTTGCAGAATGTCAAAAAGGATATTGTCTGTTTTTAAAAGTATTCTTTTCATTTCTTTTTCTCTTTCTTTGCTTCTTCCTTTCTTTCTTTGTGTATGTAATGTTGATATGTTTTTAATTGTAAATTTAATAAAATTTATATATATAAAAAAAGTAAGGCAGTCAGATTATGTTTTCAAGAGTTTACATCTACATTACCAATCCTATTGTTCACCTATTGCTATTCTTCATCTTTATAAGATTTGGGCAGGGAAAAAAAGTAACATCCAAATTGTATGTACTTTTCTGATTTAAACATCTTATTTGTCTTTTTAAAGATCCTGGAAAGTTTAATTTTACACCTCGCCTGTTTATCTTTGGAAGTTCCTCAGGAGAATTCTCAGCCACTGAGTATATTTATCCATCAAGGGACCCCTCTGTGATTAATTCCATGCCCTTCCTTCAGGAAGACCTCTATACAGCCCCACAGCCAGGTAAGTTAACACAGGGGTGAGGAACTATGACCTTTTATGACCTGTGGATTTCATGCTAGCTCAGGAACTCTGGGAGTTGAAGTCCACAAGTCATAAAAGGCCCATAGTTCCCCCACCTCTGATACAGGATTAATAATCACACGAAATTACATATGTTATAAACATCTGAAAAAATTTGTCTCTAGAAAGATGCTTTTGTTTAGATGTGAAAACAGTGAAAGTACATGTGCAATAGTGTGCCAAGCATTATTTTCATTGCCTTTGAACCATACAATATTTTTGAATGATTTATAATTGTCATCACCATAACCATATGGGGAACTGAAAGTTACAGCAACAGGCAAAATGACAGTTCTCTAAACAAATAAGAATTTCTTCTGAGACATCCAAGGAGATATCACTAGGCCACTTAAGGAAAGGCAACAAATTTCCTTCACCTGATTTGCCAGGCAAGGATAGCAGTTTATAAAATAACAAAAAGTGTCCATGCTATGTAAGCCGAGGTGGAGAAGCTCTTCATCTTCTCAACCCCTTTCCTATTGCAGAACCACACTTGATATTATTTCCAATATGTTCCAAATGTTGCTTTGCCACAGATACCTAGAATGTTCAGACTAGGTGTATATCTATCCTGGTTTAGGTCATCAGAAATCTATATGTGTAGTCTTTGGAATGCCTGTTCCCTTTGAAAAATAACATTGATTTAATCTGTGCAGTTCTCTTCCTTGTTGACAACCACCATGAAGTATATCTCTGGCAAGGTTGGTGGCCGGTGGAAAACAAAATTGCAGGATCTGCCCGAATTCGGTGGGCTTCAGACAGAAAATGTGCCATGGAGACTGTTCTACAGTACTGTAAAGGTAATAATAAATACAGGTATGTTCGAAGTGGTGCTGATGCAGCCCAAGAAGAGGGAAAATATGCAGCCAAGCCTAATATTATCAAGGTGATTTTGCTAATGACGTGGAACAGGAATGGGGAAAATACACAATGAAACAATGTGACTAAGCGTGTGGCAGCTTAATCTCCTTAATTCCCAATCTTAAAATATTAAGGCTGGGAGTTCTGAGGATGGTATATGTATATTAGAGGACACAAGACCAGAGGTACAGTATATTCAGCAAAGAACCAGATTTAGATTGCTGTGTAAGTTGGACTAGAATATTCTTCTGAAGATTTATATCCATGTGGATAGTCCTAACCATTCCAATAAGCTTTTAGTAATCTTCCTAGGACATTGGCAGGATTAAGAATAGCCCAGAATTCTTGACATTTCTTTCTATGAAGGTTTATTCTAGCATATTCTAGAACCCTTGCATGGTGGAAATTTCACATCCTCTTAATATTTTTTTTGAGACTAATAATCAAGACTGAATTATGCAGATAAGCATTGGTTTTTTTCCATTACTTTCAAAAAGTTGTGTTGTCCTGAACATGAAGATGAATTTTAGCAGAACTGCATATCAGAATAGAAAACATAAGGGAGTTATAGAATATTCCCTACCAGGTTCAAGCACCTCCCTTTGCTATATGTGAAAACCAGGTTACTTTTAATAAAACAAAAAAAGTAAATGCAAATTCAAATGAATTGTTAGTAAGTAACTGCTACATACACAATATGTAATTTGACATTTCATGTTTAACAAAACCCCTAACAAATTCCACAATAACGTTTTTACAACAAAATAATAATTCTTCAAGTATTATCATATCTAGAAAAAAAACAGAAAAACCCATTGCCCATCTTTCCTGATGAGTATAGAACATTTTAGTATTATATGTTGCTCAGAAAATTTTCTATTATGATATAAGGCAGGGGTGTCAAACTCACCGCACCACGTTGCTGTCACATGACGTTTTGTGACATTTTTCCCTTTTGCGAAACTGGGATATGTATGGCCTGTGCATGACACATCTGGCCCATGGGCCGCCAGTTTGACACCCCTGATATAAGGGAAAGACATCTGGACCAAATGTGTTAAATATTGGTCTGTAACAGAGTATAATAAATTACAGCATTTTATTTATATCGTGCCATAGAATCACATTTATTACATTTATATTTCATTTTTCTTCCAAGCATCTCAATTCCTCATGTATTGAAATTCCCAAAAGAATTTCAGTCTATGATATTTTTGATACATTTTTAAATGTTCAGTTGACAGAGTTTCATATTTAATGAACAAAAGTTTAATAATAATAATAATAATAATAATAATAATAATAATAATAATAATA